GTTTTGTTAAAAAAAACAGTAAACGGAAACTTATCTAAAGTTAAAAGGGTTTTAAGATAAATTTATTCAGACTAAAGAATCCACCCACAATAACACGTGAATGACATTTAGTTGTTTACTGAAAGAGACGTCAAAATCATGGCGGATGTGGCGAACAGCGTTTTTAGTGTTTAAAAAATATAGACTAAAAAATATTTTTTTAAATTAAATTTCTACAGCAATCTTCTGCTTTTATGAAGTGAAATCGATATATTTAGGTTCCTTAGACCAAATACTGTAAGAAATAAACATTTCTTTAATACAATTCGACATGAGTCAACTAGCCTATTGGAATACATTAAAGGGAATATAGAATTTCAACAGGTAATATTCAACTTGAGCACCTAAAAGGGTTAACACGATTAATAGAATACACATTAAACACAAAGTACAATATGACAATAGGATAAATATTTTTAGTACCTTTGTAAGTAATATCTCTCATTTTTTTTTAATATGTAAAGAAGGGTATTGAATATATTATTATAAGGTTTAGATAGCCCCACTAAGCAAAGGCGTACCTAAGCTTAACGCAGTACTAAATGAGTTACATCGAATCATATTGTCATAAAAATTGAGTCTTGTCACAGCTAAAACATTTATTATTATATTTTTTATGTAATTCGTTTGGTTAGGTTAGCTGTAATTTATTAATCACAATTGCTGTAATTTTTATAATGAAACTTTTAATACATCGCCACAAATTTTTCGTTTTATTTCGCATTTTTTTTTATTGTTATTGTAAACTTCAGACTTTATTAACGAGCAACGGTGTTTCAGTGGTCGGAAGCAACGCGGGCTGCCCGGGTTCGATACCCAGCGGGGAAAGGTATTCTTTTTAATTTCCACTTTATATAAAGCAGAAAAAATAAATTCGAGGCGATGTAATACACTTTTAATGTTTCAATCGCACCGTAATATAATAAGACTACACTATTTTTTGAAGTACTACTTCTTCGGTCGGGGAGTGAATGGAAAAATCCTATGGAAAGGATGAAACGGAAATTTGTCACATTTGTTTGTTTGGGATGCGTGCGCAGCTCTTCCCGACGAGCATGAAAGTTAGAGGATAACTCGGCGAAGGCTGAAATGCCACGAGTGTCACACGCGGCAATATATACAGGGTGTTACAAAAATACAAATAAAGCTTGAAGAGCGTTGAAGTACATCATATAAGGAGTGTTCTCTAATTTTCTCAAAATATTTGCATGATGTTCTAACTTTTTATAAAAACAGTTATTTTTAATGAATAATAAAAATATCGATCATTTTAAGACACGTCGCTAGTTCGAGGATCATTAAAAATAACTGTTTTTATAAAAAGTTGAAACATCATGCAAACATTTCAAGAAAATTAGAGAACACTCCTTATATGATGTACTTCAACGCCCTTCAAGCTTTATTTATATTTTTGTAACAACCTGTATATATATATACATACATATATATGAGTGAGGCGTGCACTGCTCCATTCCCCTATGCCTTAAGCACCGCCTCATGTTAAGTTATGTAAGAAAAGAAGTCTCACTTCAGATGTGTGGTCCGTGCACACTTTTATTTATTTTTTTGTAAATGTGAATCTTCTAATCAAGTGGCGCCCTAACATTGCCTAATAATAAATAAATCATAAATAAATTCACTACTAACATTTTCCATAACACGATTTTAATATTTGTATAATTAAGTACATCTCCATTAAGTACAAACAATAATTTACTATATAATTTTTATTATAAATTCTATAAGTAAATATCAATATTTTAAGCTAAATATACATAATTTATTTTTTTATTACAAAAAACAAAGTGTGTCCAAGCACCTAGTTAAAAATGGTAACACTGGCTTCATTAAATACTTTACTCTTAACAAAGCTATTCATTATTATTTAATTAAAATGTTTGCAATGTATTGTAAGTACGATGGTCTGAAATCCAGAATTTTTCGATCAAGATAAATTGATTATTTTTTTTAATTATCAGCAACAAGTAATCAGAATACACGTGCAAACATCTTGGATCTATTTAAATATCCTTTTTTTATCAAAAAAACACTTTACGCTATATATTCTAAGCATTAAGTAATAATTCAATATTAAACTTATATAAATATTTATTGTTTAGTCGTTTATTGTAATAATACGAATTTATTAAAAAAAACAAATAATGAACTTTATGAACACAAAAAAAATAGTATTTTAAGTAAATTTTATAAAAATTTATTATTAAAGTTTTAAGAAAAACAGTCCCAATTAAATTTTCCAATAAATGAAACAAATCATTTTCAGTTTTGAACGGTCACCCATCTTACCTCCAGCCTATGCAAACTCCCTTTACCTCCCTTCCCTTATATTTATTTTTGTCATTTTTTGTCGATTGCCCAAACAAAAAATACATGTCCATTATTTTTTAATCATCTAACTGACGGACTAAATAGAATTTCGTTTACTGTACCCCGTCATCACCCCTATTGTATTAGTAGCGACATGATTTTATGTAAATGTTACTACTTCTTTTAAATACTGATGAGTTTCTTGCGCCCATTTTTCTCATCAGCTTAAAAATGTCCTGATTGGGTGATAGGGAAAAATATTGGGTGTTCGGTAAAAATATTGGACGATTCAACAGACCATTCAATAAGCCAATTTGAATCATTTAATTACTTTATTAATTTAACCTTCCCATTTACTACAATGCACGGCTAAACAAAAAATAACTAAATTCAAACAATATTTCATGGAACTTTATATAATCAATACTGCATCTAGCATACAAAACAAATGCTTACATAATTAATAATTTTAAACATTTAACTTTAAAGTAAATAAAATAAATAAATTTCCAATTATCCTTAAACCCTTAAATTCGTTGATAAATAAATAAAAAAATTGGAAAACGATATTTTGTACTGTACTGAAAACAGTAGAATGGAAATTGCACTGCACGAGTTGTCACGATAGATCTGCTAACTTCTGTACATATTTTAAAATACCGCCACCTAACTTGGCTATGCGTATTTCATCATCATCATCCTATCAATATCCCCACTGCTGGGGCACAGGCCTTACCTCTGAATGGAATAGGGAGATTGGGCCATGACCCACCACGCGGGCCCAGTGCGGATTGGCGGGTGCTATCGACTGCAGATGCAGCCGGGACCAACGGCTTAACGTGCCTTCCGAAGCTCGAAGGAGCTGGAGATAGTAAATTTTTGGTCACCCATCCAATGACCGACCACTGCGAAAGTTGCTTAACTTCAACGATTGCAGCCGAACGCGCTAACCACTGCATCGAGCTCCTCAATCAAAATCAAAAAAAGTCTGGCCTTATCATGCTTTATAAGAAATGAAAAGGACAGACTGATGTCAAGTTTACAAATACCAAACGCGAAAAGCCAAGTGAAGTGACGGCATGAAATATATAAATATATAAGTACGTGGCGGGTATGACGAAATGGCTTGTCAAGTTTCATTAACCATTCTTTACGTTGATTTAATTTAAATTGCGTCCTTAACCATAACATTTATTTATGATGGTTTATTTCTTATATGGTTTTTGTTATTCGGTATTTGCGTATTTGTGTTCGATTTATTCGGCACAAATATGCCGTACACGCCAACGGCAAATACACAAAAATATGGCCAACACAGTCTGTTATTACTTTTATGCTATCTTATTTTTTTTTTTTAATTCATTCATAAAATGCGTAAATCCGAACAATATAATAGTCAAAGGCTGGTCGTATGAAAAAAAAAACTAAAAAAAAAATATAACACATTTTCGTAATTTGAAGCCTTATTATTTTATTCCTTAGTTTAATAAAAAAAGGTAAATATATCCGCCACGCGCTTGACAAAAATAAACTTAATTGCACATATTGATAAGGTCAATATTTCTCTAATTGAAAGTCTGATGTGCCCTTTGAACTACTGATAATTTAATACATATATTTTTTTCTAAGATTCTACTTCAATATAAAGCACTGTTTCCTATTTAGAAATGATATTTAATTCATCAGAGTTCATGAAATAAATAAATATTACGTTGTAGATTATTATTAAAGTCCTATTGATGATGTAATTGTAATTATTGATAATTTGATTTCTATAATATTAATAATTAATAGATAAACAATTTTGATTATTTTCATTTTTGTCAACAGTTAATTTAATTAACTTATCTCTGATTTCTAAAATATTCTGAATATTAAATTCAAATAAATTAAATATCATTTTACGATGATTTTTTCTTTATTATTTAACAATATTCATTTCAATTTATTTTATAATATTTTAAAAAAAAATGTAATAAGTAAATATATTTCAATTAACAAACAATAATGGCACTTATAATTATAAAAAAAAATCAATAACAATATTTTCGATGTTTTGCAAAATTATAATATGGCATGTAACAATTGGAATGTAATATTTTAATTAATTTAAATAAATATATTATAAGAGGAAATATGGTGTCCTTTAATAGGTTTAACTTGAATTAATAATATCATAAGACACCTTAATATATAGTTATTGGAAATCACGTCTTGAAAACGTTACAATAGAGTTCATTTTTATTTTGCTTGCGGTTTCAGCGTCAAGTTACAAGCACTGTTTCTGTAATTGGCCTTAAGATTGTATTATATCTACAAAAATCGCTGTAGAAACTTATTTAAAGAGAAATTAATCAAAACGTCTTCTATATATCTATACATATAAAAAAATTGGTGTGTCTGTTTGTAATACTGAGGTAACCGCTTTTTACTACATGCATACAATATATATACGGTACATACACCAAAATAACATTTTTTACAATTTTTGTCTGTCTGCCTGTTCCGGCTAATCTCTGAAATGGCTGGACCGATTTTGACGGGACTTTTATTGGCAAGTAGCTGATGTAATAAGGAGTAACTTAGGCTACATTTTTTTTAAGAAAAAATCTTTTTTTTTTTTTAAAAAAAGAGTAATCGCGTGCGGCCTCTAATTAATTAATAAATAAACACAAAAAACAGCCCTTGTAACTTGTTAACAAATTTCACTTACTCGCGCTTATATCTTGACGAGTAGTCCTTCAAGTTCCAGTACTTCTGGCAACTCGATCGCCTCCAGCCTTATAGGCGACGGATCGAACGGGAATTGCACGGAGAATATCATCTTCGAGTCCATCAGGAGGTTTTGCTGTGAGTAAAAAACGTATATTTTAATTCAATGTTTTGATGTGTAACATCTTTCCTCTCGCTTTCCTGCAATTTGTGGGAGTGATTTCGTGAAATGGGACGGAAGCGTGTAACAGGAAGTCGCGAAAGCGTGCGCTTTTTGATTTGATTTTAGAACATAATATTCAAATGGCTCATTCCTTTTGTAGTAGGTTTTATTTCTTTTTTTACTAATATAAGGTGAGGTTTCAAATGTTACACATCATACGCGACTACTGTAAGGCTCGCTAGTTTTTATTTTATTAAAGGTAACAAAATAATCCATTTAATCGTTTGTAACAATATTTGACTTAAATGCTGGGTTAGTGTGTATTATTTTTAAGGACTCAATCAATGATGTTTGGATTCAATAATGTGTGTCTTTTAAATATTGAAATTGCATTTAAAACTGAATAAAATGTAATCTAAACCAAAATGAATTTATATCATCATCAGCCTATTAATGTCCCTACTGCTGGGGCACAGGCCTTCCCTATGGATGGAATAGCGACATTGGGCCATGAGCCACCACGCGGGCCCAGTACGGATTGGCGGGTGCTAACGACTGCAGATGCAGCCGGGACCAACGGCTTAACGTGCCTTGCGAAGCACGGAGGAACTCGAGATACAAGATTTATTGTCACCCATCCAATGACCGATCACTGCGAAAGTTGCTTAACTTCGACAGTTCAACGATCGCAGCCGAAAGCGCTAATCACCTGCGCCATCGAGCTCCTCTAAGTTATATAATTGATTAGTATTCAACAAATAAAACTAGGTGTTACGGGTTAATGCACGAAACTTTATTTATTTATTGACGTTTCGCAGCCTTTTCAGGTCTGCATCGTCAGAATAATGAATTTCATTATTGCAACTGAAAAGGCTGCGAAACGTCAATAAATAAATAAAGTTTCGTGCATTAACCCGTAAAAACTAGTTTTATTTAATGAGTGATGTGCGTGAAAACCTAAGAAACAAATAGTATTCAACATTTAAAGTCATATAAGTAAACTGTCGTGTAATTAAATTTAATGTACTTAAATGTCAAACAAATTAATTTAATATACAGGGTGTTACAAAAATACAAATAAAGCTCGAAGGGCGTTGAAGTACATCATATAAGGAGGCTTCTCTAATTTTCTTAAAATATTTGCATGAAGTTTTAACTATGTTTAGGCGGAAAAAGGCTTTGTTTCGCATTGTTTTGCTTTAGCACGTTGTGGTTTTTGCTGTTTTAGTGACTTGTTTTTTATTATTTATTGTTACTTGAAAGCAAAGGATGCTACGCCCATACATACACTTTCAAGTATTTTATTTTTACATGATTGTCATTTTTTGCACAAAATGCAAAACAATGTCGCATCAGCTAATGCTGAGGCACGGTTCTGGTTAGCCCTGAGATTTTTGAATTTGTATCTATAAATGTGTAAATGAGGGTTAATAAAATATATTCTATTCTAATCTATATGACTTGAATCTTACCGGCTCCTTGTCGGCGTTGCTTCCAGCCTTCTCCTGCATCTTCTTCTGTATCTCGTGAATGAACTCACGGGTCACTTTAACTTCATATTCCTCGGCAGGTGTGTACATGTTTAGGATCTGTAGAATATATATATGTAGCGAGTTAAAGCAGAGCCGAGATAGGAGTTAAAAAAAATACTTTATTTTATAACTTAACCTTTAGGTACAACTATTGGCAGCTCCGCGATGGAGGCCGATTGATATAATAATGAATCTAATAAAATTAAATATTGAGCGGATGTGTGTTCCAGTGTCAGCGATTCAACTTATGTGGAAATTAATCTGCTGAAAAACAATATATATATATATATATTATTAAATAAAACTAGTTTTTACGGGTTAATGCACGTAAAAACTAGTTTTATTTAATGAGTGATGTGCGTGAAAACCTAAGAAAAAAAAAATATATATATACTAGCTGACCCAGCGAACTTCGTACCGCCCTAAAAAATAGGGGTTGGTGGTAGAATGGTGAAAATTTTGGGTTATATTTATTTTTGTATGATGTATCATAAAAAAATTAAATTAAAAAATTAAAAAATATCTAAAATTTAAAAAAAATTAGGGGTGGATTACCCTTAACATTTAGGGGGATGAAAAATAGATTACATCCGATTCTCAGACCTACTGAATATGCATATAAAATTTCACGAAAATTGGTCGAGCCGTTTCGGAGGAGTTTAACCACAAACACCGCGACACGAGAATTTTATATATTAGATATATTATAGCGAGGCAGGCAAATGACTCTACCCCACCTGATGTTAAGTGGTGATAAAGTCCAAACGCGAAGATAGCTGGCACAGCAGTTATAAACTGCCACACCAATCATCCTCACCTTGCCGGCCTGCAAAAATGCTTCTTCACGCCTCTCTTAAAGGACCCCAGATTATAGGAAGGAGGGAGGAACACGTGCGCGGGTAATGAATTCCACTTACGAATAGTACGACAAAGAAATGAGTCACCAAATTCTATTAATTAGAAGTAGCAAAAATAGGGGTGATGACGGGGTACAGTAAACGAAATTCTATTAAGTCCGTCAGTTAGATGATCAAAAAATAATGGACACGTATTTTTTCTTTGGGCAATCAACCAAAAAATGGCAAAGTTATAGCGCGTCAAAGTTTGGGAGTGTGGTGACGTGACGTCACTTTTGAGTGAATTTTCACTTATAAGTGTACTCAAACGTGACGTCATGCGACTTTTCAAATCAATATATCTCTGCAATGTTTATATTGTGTAAGAAAAGAAAAAATACGTGTCCAATACTTTTTGATAATCTACCTGATAAACGAAGAAAAAAAAATGAGTCATCATCCCTATTATAGCCAAGGCTAGGACTACACAATTATATTTTATGATAACTATACACTAATTATTATGGATTTTGTCAATGTGCACATTAGTGATGTAACGAATATTCGTATTCGCATTCGCGAATATTCGCATATTTTTGAGTATTCAAATTCGCATTCGCAAAATCTCTGCGAATGTTTTGCGAATATGAATATTAGAAAAAAATAATTTGAACAAGTTGTAGTTCTGCCTTTCCTTGAATATTCATTGTTACACAGTTTGCATTTAGCTCGTTCAGCATCGAAAAGTGTCAAATAAGTCCATGTTTCACTAGAATTCGATTTACTCATGTTAATAAATCACTATTACCACTCATAATCACTAACCTCAAAATTCACTTGTTTTGTTTACGGAAAGACCGGTGCGAGCGGAATGACACTTCAGTCGGATGAGTTCATATCTACTCGGCAATTCGAACGAGACTGCCACCATGCCATAGACAATTGGCGCCAATTTAAAAAAAAACTAAATATTCGTATTAGCATTCGCGAATGTCGGTACCAGACATTCGCATCCGCATTCGCATTCGCGAATGTTCAAAAAATGACATTCGTTACATCACTAGTGCACATATATAACGAGCGTGTAAAACAATGGGTCAGCAGATTAAATAAAAAAAAAAGTAATGGAATGTGCACATAACTTCTATTGAAGTTACACAATAAGCCGAACGAGAAGAAATTGCTTCGTGCTTTTATTTTATTCAGATTAAATTGAGTTATTTGGTATAAAAAAGAATATGGCGGTTTGACAGTCAGTAGATGTAAAACGTCGAAGTATGAATGAAATAATTTTCTTTCCAAAGAAGTAGTGAATTTTTAATCTTATAACGATTACGGTTAAGATTAAGCTGACGTCATAAATCGACGAAATATTAAAAAAGAGTGCGAATAAAGAAGATTTTTTATTCACCTCATCAATTAAAAGGAATCCTTTTTGTTCGGATGCCATTATTGTTCTTTAAATAAAAAATGTGTGCGTGTACTAGTGTACACACGTAAGAAGTGAAACTTCTTTATGTCCTTATTTTTCGAAAAATGATCTACATGCAACTTTCCAGAAATTGGTTAAATAAAGTTAAATTAGATAAAGTTTAAACAAAAGGATTTTATTATCATAGACATGAATACAAATTACTGCCTATTTATTTATTTTTTATTTATTTATTTATTTAAACTTTATTGCCAAACATAAGCAAACGGCGGACTTAATGCCATAGGCATTCTCTACCAGTCAACCAGTATGATTGTTGGAGACAAATAGTATGGCGATAGAGCAAAGTTGCTAAAATTAAATAAAATGAACAATATCAAAATAACAGCAATAAAATAATAATACTTAAATACAAATTGATGCACATATATGTAATACTCATATAACCATACATAAACATACACATATAAATAAATATATATATATATATACATATGCATAACATACATAAAATACAATAAATATAATATATATCGATGCAAACTATAGGGAAAAATCACGTAGTCAGGTAGTGTTCACGCACAAGTTTTTTGAACTCAAACTTATTTTCAGTACTACGTATGCTTAGTGGTAGAGCATTCCACAGGCGTATGGCAGTAATAGTGAACGATTTGGATCCAAAGCCAGAATGATTAACGGGGATTTGTAGTGTAAGATTTCTGCACGAGCGAAGATCACGTTGATTGGAAGTGCCCAGAAATTGAAATCTAGATTTCAGGTACTCTGGGGCACATGGATCAAATAAAAGCTTGAAGAGCATGCAAAGTAATCTAAGGTTTCTTCGGCCATTGATTGGCAACCATTGAAGTTGTTTTCTAAAGGGAGAAATGTGGTCGTATTTACGTAACCCGAAAATGAAGCGAATACCGCTGTTGAGCAAACGATCCAATTTGATAAGAAGGTTTTGAGTGATGTCAGAATAGCAGATGTCGGCGTAGTCGAGAATAGGGAGAATAAGAGACTGGACGAGTGCGACTTTGGTACAGGAAGGGAGAAAGTGCTTAAGACGATACAGTGCTCGAAGTGTGTTAATCACCTTGCGACTAACTTCTTGAACATGAACTTCCCAGCTGAGAGTAGTATCGATAAATAAGCCTAGATTCCTAACGCTGGGTAGATACTGGATAACATTGCCATTATAAATTACCGCATTCAAGTTACTCAGATCAAGCGTAGCTAATTGACGAGAACTACCTAAAATAATAGCCTGGCATTTTGATGGGTTTACAAAGATACCATAACACTTGGACCAATCGGAAATTCTTTGTAGGTCTTGGTTTAAGCGTATGATAGCAGCGTCTAAGTTATGCTTATCAGCTTGAACGTAGAGTTGGAGATCGTCGGCATACAGATGGTAAGAGCATTGAATTAGAGTGGTGAGGAAATTAATAAAAAGTGAAAAAAGAAGAGGAGAAAGAATACCGCCCTGTGGAACACCAGCAGTGATATCAGCCCAGCTTGAAATAGTCTGATCGATTCGAACAGCCTGCTGGCGTCCACGAAGATACGAAGAGAACCAGGTCCTCGCCGAAGAAGAGGCTCCCATGTGAGTAAGGATTGCAAGGAGAATGTCGTAGTTGACCATATTAAATGCGTTAGAAAAATCGATCAAGACCATTATTGTCAACCGCGACTTCTCCATGCCGCTCCGAACGTCGTCCAGAACATTAAGGAGAGCAGTGGTTGTACTGTGACCGGGTCGAAACCCAGATTGTAAAGGACTAAGTATGGACGCCTATGAAACTGTTATGATTACACGGCTCAGTAATCTAAGGCACATGTTCCACCTCCGACGATGAACGATAAGCGAGTAGAAACTAGAAACGAATTGGCAGTCCTGAGTTAAAATGCACGCGCACGGCTTTTGACAGCCAAGCCAGCTTAACCGAGCGAGTATAGCTGAGCGAGTATCGCTGAGCGAGTATCGCTGAGCGAGTACCACTGAGCGAGTACCGCTGAGCGAGTATCGCTGAGCGAGTATCGCTGAGCGAGTATCGCTGAGCGAATATCGCTGAGCGAATATCGCTGAGCGAGTATCGCTATGCGAGTTTGGCTGAGCGAGTATCGCTGAGCGAGTATCGCAGAGCGAGTATCGCAGAGCGAGTATCGCAGAGCGAGTATCGCTATGCGAGTTTGGCTTAGCGAGTATCGCTGAGCGAGTACCGCTGAGCGAGTACCGCTGAGCGAGTACCGCTGAGCGAGTATCGCTGAGCGAATATCGCTGAGCGAGTATCGGTGAGCGAGTATCGCTGAGCGAGTATCGCTGAGCGAGTATCGCTGAGCGAGTATCGCTGAGCGAGTATCGGTGAGCGAGTATCGCTATGCGAGTTTGGCTGAGCGAGTCTTATCTTTAATAACTATTGTCACTCAGCTACAAACGAGTAGAGAGAGTTCTCGCCGGCGACAGTGTGATCATTCAGCTATCAACTATTAATATAAAAAAAGATGGCGCGTAACGGAAAAACGTGACGCGTAACGTCCGAAAAATGTGACGGTAAATTTTTTTCCAACGCCGATAAAGAAGTTTCACTTCAAAAAATGGGTGCGTGTACTTATGTACGCGCGTGAGAAGTTATACTTCTTTGGCATCTTTAAAGATTAGATTTTAATTGCATGCAAATAATTTATTAAAATAAAATAATAAAAGGACTGGAAAAGTATAGTCAACATAGTCAATAAAGTTCAGTTTTAATTTGAATAATTAAATAAATAAACAAAATATTCAATTTAAATCAGTACTGAATATAATGTATTAGCACTTATATAATTCGCACTTTCATACAAGTGTAAAACACTTGTTGTTAATATAGAAACTAGAAACATATGGATAAATATTATAAATGTAAAAACAGTGATCAGAGGCGACGAGCTTGTCAACATGCGTGACTAATAGAGACTTTATTTCTATTTTGTTGGTAGCTTTTTTTCGAGGCTTGTTGTGCGAGGATGTGCTGTTTAGCGGCCAACTTCATGGTGTTACTTTTGTGTTACAATGATGCGCGCGTATCTTAAAATCTCACTCTCATATTTTTTTTATAACGCGCCTAAAGAAGTATAACTTCAAAAAGAAATAAAATTCGAATGCCTCTCACGCACGCTCGGTCATACGTCATATTCGTTTTCCCGGTAAAAATATGATAGCATACCAGTACAATATGGCGTCGGATTCGTGACGTCATTACCACTGACCAGTATACTGAGTATACATCTCGGAATACACCCTGAATCTTAAGCATGTAGAATTTGGATTACCAAAATAGTACCTATATATTTTTTTGTTTCAATCAGAAATAAAATAGCGTGATATTTGCCGAGACCCCCTCTCTCCTACGTCAGATTAGATGAGATTTATGGACGCCTCCTTAACAGAATGTTAATAGGTGAAAATATTGCCTGCACGAAACGCGAGGGCAAGAAATTTTTCTAGTAAACATTTTATTTTGTTAATTTCGCTGTATAAGTAGAAATAGAAATAGATTTATTAGCCTTAAACACAGATTTACATAAATAAAACAAGACAAAATAGGCCAACTAGGTCCCTGCCTCAGCTTGATACTACAGCAACACCAGGGCTGCTGCAGCGCTGATAATTCTGGCAGGGCCTATGGTTGATGACACAGATAAACAAATAAAAGAACAATAATACACTAAAAGAAACAAGCATACCAATAAATACACATCAAACAGAAAAAAAAATGGAATGGCTGTATAATTTTATAATCTTTGCCTTAAAACAATGCAAAGATTTAGTAATAAAAAATCTGTGGGAGAACAGAGTACAAACTGAACCTCCAAAAAAATATATAAAAACACTAACCTTAAACTATAAACACAATAAATAAGTATGTATGTTGCAAAAATAATAAGAGTAATTTCGCTGCCGATTTATGCCTGTGTGTAACTAAGAATTGACAGCAAGAGAGGACAAACAAAATAAGGCAGTATGCAAAAACAAAAAACAAATAATCGGCAAGTACACAGGAATTCAGCTACAATTACAATTTTGCATCTTACATGACTATACCAACATAAAGTATAAATTTACCTTGCACACTTGCATGGCCGTTAAGTCTGAACACATATCGACTGTACTCTGCACATCGGCCATTGATTTGCGGGCTTGAAGGAGCTGCACAGCCTGAGTAATTGGCTTCAAAACACCGAGAATCTCTTCAACCTGACAATGAAAAAACAATTACAACTTCATCCTTATCCCAGGCCTTCCCTATGGATGGAATAGGGAGATTGGGCCGTGACCCACCACGCGGGCCCAGTGCGGATTGGATGGTGCTGACAACTACAGAAGCAGCCGGGACCAACGGCTTAACGTGCCTTCCGAAGCACGGAGGAGCGAGAGATAGTAAATATTTGGTCACCCATCCAATAACCGGCCACTGCCAAAGTTGCTTAACTTCAAAGATCGCAGCCAAACGAGCTAACCACTTGCGCCATCGAGCTCCTCCTCCTCCTATAATAATACTCATCAATATAATAAAAAAAACTATCAAATCTCAATTATTATTTAAAGACCAAATTAAAAACAATTTAAACGTTTGGCTAAATAAAGTATGTTCGCCCGTATAAGCCTTATACAATACAGAATAACGTTCAAAATCGTATCAAAAGGCTATCATTTATGTGGTAGAACACAATATTTATATATTGCGCTATCGTACACAAACATGACAATTTATATTACATTAAAAAGTTTATCTTTCAGAATTTCTCATTTAAGCGCACCTAGCGAACTCTATTGTAAAAAAAATGCATTTTCTTCGCAATAAAGCTGGCACGTGTACGTCCTAGATAGACTTATTATTATAATACTAGCAAACCAGTGAAACAAATGTTCACCAAAACCTGATTTAAAAAATGTATTTAATTAATTGAGAACTTCGGAGATTTTGTGTGGTTTCGTTTGAATTCAATTAGTTAAAAAAAATAATAATAACCTTTAAATAGTTAAATAAAATTGTGATAATTACAAAATAGAAATCACGTGATTTCTCGAAAACCGGAAGTGCTACGTTACTCAAATCCGGTTTGTAGTCTTATCAGACTATTCTTAACTTATAACTTAAACATTCTCTTTATCTATCTCTTACGGTTTGGCCGCTGAAACAGCACCACAGACGGACGGACGGACTTGTCTAATAGATAAGAGATGGTAAAATAAAATATTACTATGTTTCGTCCAATATATTGAAAGTCAACAACCTTTCCAATTTTATTGTGTGTCATGACGCGATCAGCCCACGTGTCCTGACGCGAGTTTATCATTTTTTACCCATACAAAACAAAGTGTACATCGCCGCTAAAGAAGTTTTCACATCAAAATGTTAATACTTACGCTCTTCTGTCCGTATTCAGCCAAATGTTCCTTGATCCAGGTCTCCAGGTGTGAGATATTGTATCTGATCTGCAGACCTTTGGCCCAGCAACACAGGTCTTTGCGGAGTAGTAGCTGATTCAAACTGTACGCGCAGATGTAGTAGAATAACTGTGTGGAAATAGAAGAATTATAGTAAATATTTTTTTCAATAACCTTAGATCCAAAGTAAGCACTGTAAGGCTCTTGTTATGGGCATCTAGGTTAACAATATTACAATAATACATCATCATAAGCCTATTAATGTCCCCACTGCTGGGGCACAGGCCTTCCCTACAAATGGAATAGGGAGATTGAGCCATGACCCACCACGCGGGCCCAGTGCGGATTGGCGGGTGCTAATGACTGCAGATGCAGCCGGGACCAACGGCTTAGCGTGCCTTCCGAAGCACGGAGGAACTAGAGATAGAAGATTTTTGGTCACCCATCCAATGTCCGACCACTGCGAAAGTCGCTTAACTTCAACGATCGCAGCCGAACGCGCTAACCACCTGCGCCATTGAGCTCCTTACAATAATACATATACTATGTGAACAGCTATGGCTTAGATACGAATACTCTCGTATACATTATACAAACATTTGCCCCATCGGGATTCGAACCCAGGACTTTGAGAAGGCGACACACTCTCTCACACAAATGGCGCTAAAAGCGCTTCCGAGTAGGTAATAATGATCGTAATTTTAAAAAATCCGTTAAAAATACGCACGTCGCCATGAATGGGCGCGTGCGGTAAAATGTTTTACCGCACTCTCCACTGTACAGCCAGTAATTTTGAACATTCAAACAATGTATACAACCTCCGTAAATGCATTTTTGAGCAAATGTGTTGAAAGTAAATTTACCTTTATATATTTTTAAGCATTTAACTGCTAGATGTTTAAATCTTAAACAACCCATTCCGTCCAGTCCGCTGCTTGGACCGCATGGAATTTTTTCCAGTAAAATTTCCTTTGATAAAATGAGGCGGTTAGCGCAAAAGTGGCCTAACCCTCAATTAATCATATTTGTGATTAAGCGGCTTAGACCATTTATTAAGTTTACGTTGAGAGAAAAAAATCAATGCAGAATAACTTTTGCAACGCCATCTATTGACGACTGAATTGAATGACGATTTTGAATTAAATTTTAACACATTTTTATTTAATTGTAGAAGATGGATCAGAATATGAATAATAGGGTATTTGACAGTATTAAAAATAAAGTGCCAATTGTTAGCATCTGTGTTTAGAATGAATATTGGTAGGGGTTTTTACTATTTTTACAAAAAAAATATTCAGAATTTTACTAAAAACCCACGAAAAAGATAATAGTTTTCTTATCTATTGTCACGTGACCCAAAACGCTTGGGATTGGCGGAGCCTAAAAAGACGTCACACGCAAGTAAACTTCCGGTTACAGTGACATTACATTGTATCGTTTGACGTTTTAATAACAGTCGTGTGACGTCACTCACTAGTAAGACGCCATATTGTCCAGAGAAACGTTTTCGCGGCAACTTGAAAATCGAGTTTTTAACATAGCTTTTTTTACTGAAATACACAACAGAATGATGAATATCCACTTTTTACGGACTCCATAAACATTAGTCAATGACGTGAGATCGTTTTCTAGAACTTGTCAAATACCCTATTGAGGGTCAGGCCACTTTTGCGGTGACAGCTTCGAATTACCTGTTTGTATATAGCTCTCGCCAAGGGCGGGGCGACGGCGTGGGCCCGCAGAGTATCGCTGGTGGCAGATAGCTCGTTTTTGAGTCGCGCCGGGCCCGGGGCGGGGGTCGAAGGTGGCACCGGGCTCCTGGGAGGGCCTGATAGGCCGGATATCTCCTCGTGCTCGAGTATGGCGGGCACTATTAGACGCTCCAGCTGGCGCTCCAGTAAGTGGATCAGGCCTGGTGTGAAAATTAGGGGAGGTCACAAACATTTTTCGTAATAGGGGTGATGACGGGATACAGTAAACGAAATTCTATTTAGTCTGTCAGTTAGATGATCAAAAAATAATGGACACGTATTTTTTCTTTGGGCAATCAACCAAAAAATGACAAAGTTATAGCGCGTCAAAGTTTGGGAGTGTGGTGACGTGACGTCACTTTTGAGTGAATTTTCACTTATAAGTGTACTCAAACGTGACGTCATGCGACTTTTGAAATAAATATATCTCTGCAATGTTTATATTATGTGAAAAAAGAAAAAATACGTGTCCAATAGTTTTTGATAATCTACCTGATAAACGAAGAAAAAAAATAGCCATCATCCCTATTGTAAAGAAAAATACAGAGTTCTCAAAGTTATTTCTAACAATTCGCAACCTTATATATTTAGTACTTTATTTTAAGTGTTTTTTTTTTTTAAATCGCTCGCTTATAATGAAATCAGCCTAACTCTAAATTCTCCTAATTTCTGACTTTTCTACCTCCTGGGCGGGCCTGATAGACCTGATATCTCCTCGTGCTCGATTATGGCCGGCACTATGAGACGCTCCAGTTGGCGCTCCAGTAAGTGGATCAGGCCTAGTGTGACAATAGCACAACAAATATATAGTTCTCATTTTAAAGAATTCCCAAAGTTTTTTTAATAATTTGCATCCAAGAATGACGGTGATCGAACGAAAAAAATCGGGTCATTTATTTGCTTTGCTACAAATTCGACCTTAAACTGGTACCAATTTTGGAAATCCGAGTTTTACCCCTTTGGACTTCCTACAATAGTGATTTACCCAAGGCGACGCGACGCACATTTTTTTAGGGATATCCATCTGTGATAGGAACGATCGCTTGGCCAGACTTGTCCCGTTGAAATCTTGTTTTAAATAAATACTATTATATAGAAAGAAAAAAGAAAATATTTATTGATCCTATAACATTGACTAATAAAAAAGCATAAATAAAAACACAGAATAGATGGAAAGATAGTTAAGCATGAGTAACTTTATTAATTAATATTAAAAACTCAACTAATGGTACAATATTGCTATAATGCTATATGAGTAAGTTTGTTTCTCTGGAATACATATCCACAAATAGCAACCATAGATAAAGGGTGAGATCTAGTTGGTATGTTCATTCAACCGTAAAACAATATCATCAAATCAAATAATTTATTGCATTCATGTAAGTAGTTAAAAAGATGGTTAAATACATGTTATAAAGTACGTTACATGAACCCTGTTAGGGTATCGCAATACTTGGTGTTGTTATGAATAAATTTTACAATAATCTAATATATAAAATTCTCGTGTCACGGTATGCGTAATTGAACTACTCCGAAACATTCAGTAGGGTTGAGAATCGGACAAAATCTATTTTTCATCCCCCTAAATGTTAAGGGTGGTCCACCCTTAATTTTTTTTAGACAAAACTTTTGTTTTATTTTTTTATTATACATCATCATACAAAAATACATACAACCCTAAATTTCCACCCTTTTACCACCAACTCCTATTTTTTTATAGCGGTACGAATAAACAATTTATATATATTTTTCTTGAATTTACGTAATATAAATATCTACTATTAAAATTAATACTAGCAAATCAGTGAACCAAATGTTCACCAAAAAAAAAATGTATTCAATTAATTGAAAACTTCGGAGATTTTGTGTGGTTTTGTTTGAAATAGAAATCACGTGATTTCTCGAAAACCGGAAGTGCTACGTTACTCAAATCTGGTTTGTAGTCTTATCAGACTATTCTTAACTTATAACTTAAACATTCTTTATATCTCTTACGGTTTGGCCGCTGAAACAGCACCACGGACGGACGGACGGACTTGTCTATTAGATAAGAGATATATTTCATAAAACAATTAATTAGAATCATTCATTGAGTCATATGATTGGTGACTCACCCTGATATATCCAGACGGCGCAGTCGCTGACCACCTGTCGATACTGGGAGAGGTCGAATATGCGCAGGCACTGTTGATTCTGACGCGGCGTATTCGATACTTGATACATTTCATCGCCGCTATATTGACGGAGATTGTTCAGTAGCCTATGAGGATAAAGAATGTAAGATGTTTGTTACATTTTATTTTTAATGACATACCTACATAAGTTTGTACGCCGGGTTTCATGGTGTCGCCTACTCGGGAGGTCCCGGGTTCGATTCCCGGTGAGGGCAGATGTTTGAGTGATGAATACGAGCATTTGCACTCCAGTCATGGATGTTTAATATGTATTTCTATATAAATAAACTTTTTTTTTCCTAATTGGCTTCGCACGGTTTGTGCATTTAGCCAATGTCAAGTGTTAAAATGTTTACAAATACTACAGCTCTCGTGGTCAAAGTAATAAAGTCACGTCAAAGTAAGTGGCAGTCAAGTCAAACCCCCTTTCCCTATGTTTCAGTAAAAGTGTGGGGATTTACTGGAACCTCCCCGTGGACTTCTTGAGGGAACGTCGAAAGACACTTTCCGCTATTTTCTTTCACTTGTCAACACTTGAGCATGTTCCCGAACACTTAGTGGTTAATAATCCACCATTATTAGACACTAACATCCGCCACGACACAATTTTTAACAAGAAAAAGAAAACTACTAAAGTTACGCTTCCCGAATCCGCCAAAAAGTCCTATAAATATACTTTTATATATATATATACGATACGATATAGGATACGAGGGTAATATATATATATATATATATATATATATCCTATATCATATCCTCGTAAAGAATTCCACTTACGAATAGTACGACAAAGAAATGAGTCACCAAATTTCTTTGTTCGTTTCTTAGGTTTTCACGCACATCACTCATTAAATAAAACTAGTTTTTACGGGTTAATGCACGAAACTTTATTTATTTATTGACGTTTCGCAGCCTTTTCAGGTCTGCATCGTCAGAATAATTCATTATTCTGCTGCGAAAAGGCTGCGAAACGTCAATAAATAAATAAAGTTTCGTGCATTAACCCGTAAAAACTAGTTTTATTCTTTGTTCGTGTAGGAATAGTGGCTACATTAAGTTTGACGCTGTCAAAAATACTTGCTTGGGCCTCTGAGCATATTGAGGTTTCTTATTATTATAAGTATTCCCGCTTTCTTTCTCTCTCTGTCTCTCTTCCTCTCTTTTTCACAAATACACTAACCTGAGCATATTGGCTAGCCATAACGCGTTGTACTCGACGCTGTCGCTCCGTTTCTTGACGGTTTTCTTGACGGCGATGCGGACGGCTTTCATCAGCTGATGCATTTTAGGTTCGTCGTCGACGTGGTCCGTGTGTCGCAGCATCATGAATAGAATGTAGGCGGGAAGGCCCGGGAGAAGAGTGATCGCTATTTTGGGCTTCAGATCTGAAGGCAAGATAATATCATTCGTAAGTAACGTTTGGGGAAAACATGGTGGTTGCGCCAGTATGGCATTTTGAATTGACCGCGTAAAAATTCTTATCTATACTTATAATAAATCTGTAGAGGGGTCAATTCTGTACATGAAATATATTTTCAAAATAACTATCAGGGGGTGCTTAGTGATCAATACTGATGCCAAAAATGCAATCAGTAAAATTTTTGTCTGTCTGTCTGTCTGTCTGTCTGTCTGTCTGTCTGTCTGTGTGTATGTTCCTTATAGAAACAAAAACTACTCGACGGATTTTAACGAAACTTGGTACAATTATTCTTCATACTCCTGGGCAGGTTATAGTATACTTTTCATCACGCTACAATCAATAGGAGCAGAGTAATGAAGGGAAATGTTGGGAAAACGGGAGAAGTTACTCCATTTTTTAAGCTTCCGTCGCGTGCGCAGCCTTAATAGTTACATAGAAATTATGTATGACGGAAATATACTACATAAAATTTTCTAAAAAATATCCCGCAACAGCATGTCTATCTTTTATGGTTGACTTACAATAACACGTGTAACTCCTGATAGCTTAGAAGTTCGGAGCATTCTGATTATATTTGTTTACTCTTACGTTTTTATTACTCTCACTCATCCCTAATTTAAAAAAGTTAACATTATTACCTATTCAATAAAAAAAGAATCATAGAAATCGGTATAGAAACACCAAACATACATGAAATAAGCCAGCCAGTAATAAATTCGTTTGATATACAATAACCATAGTTCGAGTGATTCTCATTGTGGAAATAGAAGTGCAAGACTACTCATTTAGTGTTACCCATAAGAATATCAACCGGCCAAGAACCCAAGTTCGGTTTTGGATAGCCGGCTCGACACGTCCACATCAGAAGCTTCTGCCCCTCTAGCATGACCACCGAAACGGGATATGATAAAGCGATATAACGACATTAACTGTCAGACTACTGTCAAACTCCATAGTAGTCTGACAGTTAATGCCGATATATCGCTTTATCATATCCCGTTTCGATGGTCATGCTAGAGGGGCTGGACTGGCCGTTGATGCAAGGTATTGTGCAACCTTCCTTATTGGTTTCAACTATTTCCCTTGTTTTTAATCCACGCAGTTCGAAATCTCCTTTCTTTGATTATCGTGCCAATTTTAAATATACAGTCCATTTTAAAAAAACAAATATTTAGCATCACCCGCGCAACCACATGGAATATTGAAATGATAAGATGTTTTAAATAAATGTTTGCAAGATGAGAATATTGCCAATGATCAATTTGGGTTAGTTTTTAGAATTATAGCTATTAAGGGGATTGTTACCATGTACCTTGTTTTTTATGAGTCTACGATATTTCGGCACTGTTGCAAGCGCCGTGAACACGGAGTAACTGAAGTAATTGCGGGTGGATGTTATGGGCAGACAGACTCGTAAAAAACAAGGTACATGGTAACAATCCCTTTAATAGCTATAATGTTAGTGACCATGGAAGTTTAAAACAATATATAGTTTTTAGAATTTTAACAGCATTAATTTATTATATATTGCGTTTGCTTCTATTTATACAGGGCGTCCCAAGGGTTTGTCACACGGAGGGAAAATCTATTAAATATTGAAGATAGGATTTTTTTCTGAAAGAAGACTTAATTTTTGGAGTTTACTCCTTAAGAATCGATTTGCATATGTAAGGGGCCCGGTATGAGAAAAATGTGAGGAGTAAAATCTATCGATGAATGACCTCGTTACGTTTTTGGTGCGCATCCTATGTCGCGCAACTTTGACAAACAAAGATGACGGATTGACATTAATCTTTATGATGATTGTATGATTAAATAAACTCTTTTTGCGTCTGGTTAGACTATCGAACTTAAGGAGTAAACTCCAGTCGTGCGTCGGAGCTGACACACACATTTTTTTATTTTTTAGATCCTTTTCAGAATGCGTCATAGCGAAACGTCAATAAATAAAAATAATAATTATAAACTCTAAATAAAAGGAAGACAAATAAAAATAAGAATAGGTGCTGGGGTCTAAATCAAATATATAAAAAAAAGGAAAAAAATATAATAAAAAATACGTGTGCGGGATTTGAACCGGTGATGCGTCTAACGTTGGTCCCGTGGCATAATTTTAACACACTGCACCGTTTCGATTAATACTGGATAGGCGAAAATTATGTTCATATGCACTCTTGTCAGGTTATTTTTGTTACGGAATTTCTTGATTCGGTCGCCGCGCTCAAAGCCCGCGATAAAATCTATGCAATAGTTTAATAAATCAGTGCATCTATACCGTTGAAACTTGTTTTATTTAATGTATGGTGTGCGTGAAAACCTAAGCAAACAAATAAGTTTGCAAAAAGTCAATTTGTATAAAGTATAATTTGAATGTGTCGTTGTACTCACCAGTAATGAGTTTCTTAATAATGGCTGGTTCATCTTGCCTTCTGTATTCGAACATTCCAAGGTATTCTCTCTCCTTCTTGCGGGTTACAGCGACCTCTAGCGGAAGTGAGGAGTTCACCGCCACTACTGTGTCTGTTGTTGAAATAATTCATAGTTCAATATAGAATTTCAATTACAATCGTTAACATGAAAAAAATAAACAATCTTTGGGCGATACTTCCATGGCATTAATGAGGAAGTTAATGGTCAGTACATTCGCCAGGATAGCGAAGGGTGCGGGTTCGAGTCCGACAGGCAACAGACATGTTGCCTGTTCCGTGTGCATTTTCTTTAGTAATATTTTCTTTAACCTTAATCATCGAGTAGTTACATGCTTTAAAAAAATAAAAAATATAAGTATAATTGCTATTTCTTTCTTCTTTCTCTTTAAAATGATTAATACTTGTATACCTTTACAAGTCTGTCTGTCCGGACATTTTAGTCACTTTTTGTGACAAAGTCACAAAGTGACTAAAATGTCCGGACTTTTATCGAAATGTCCGGCTTTTTGTTAGGACTTTTCAAATAGTAACCCTAGTCGCAGCAGTAAGTAAGTAAGTGAATTAAATAAATTACTTTATTAATTAAATTAGTTAATAAATTCAAGCGTAGACAATAAAGTTTTATAAATCTTCCAATGAAATATCCGAACGCTCAATCAAAGTCTTTCGAAGGTAGCTCGACAAATTAAATAAAAATAAGTAAATAAATAAATAATTTCAGTGCATATAACCCGTAAAAACTATTTTATTTAAGTGATTTTATCAAAAGTGTTTCATCATACCAGTGTTCTCTAATATATCGTTGACATCTTCTACCCCGACCTCCCTCAGTTTGTTGACCAGGAGTCGTATTTGATTCTTGTAGCGGCGGCAGCTTTCAGAAAGCTTGTCGACGCGTTCCTGACAAAGAAAAATATTATATTATTCAATTTAAAGTTGTGGTCGCCTTATTTATAAGTTCGGACGTTTTGAGATTCTTCTGTCAAGGAATATAATCATCTATTGCACTTAAAAAATAAGTCTGAGGCAAATATGAGTTTAGCCGTTGCACGAAGGCACGTTAAGCCGTTGGTCCCGGCTGCATCTGCAGTCGTTAGCACCCGCCAATCCGCACTGGGCCCGCGTGGTGGGTCATGGTCCAATCTCCCTATTCTATCCATAAGAAAGGCCAATGCCCCAGCATTGGGGACATTAATAGGCTGTTGATGACGATGAAACATGAGTTTAGGAAGTCGACTCTGCTATGTTAAATAATCTGGTATCAATTGTATTTTATTGCATATTTTTTTTTTGGGATTTTGTAGGGATTTTGTACTGGTCCTTTGTGACAGAAATCACAAACATTTCTCGCGTTTTTTCATTACAATTGCAGTGATAAATATTTACCTGTAAGGCTAAGCTTTCCGCAGCCAATCGTATAATCTCATTCTGAGCGAACTCTTGATTTTTGTTCTTTGGCTCTTGACTCAGGTCTGCGCTTAGCAACCTGCAAATAAATGGTTTAGTAGGCACATCTAAAAACGCTTATTATTGTTATGACATTCATATATTTTTCAACTTGACAACTCTGTAAATAATAAAACAGGGAGAAAAAAACAGCCCTTGCTGAGTTTCTTGCCGGTTCTTCTCAGTACAAGGTCTCCCGCCGTAGATTTACGGACCGGTGGCGTAGCTTCTAGACATTCATGAGTGCTTGTAACAGCCTAAACCGAATAAAAAGTGAACTGCCTAAGAAACTCGAGTCTCTACAATTACGCCGTGATGTGGCATCATTAAGCGCATTCTACCGACTATACCACGGCGAGTGTTCTGAGGAGCTATTCTCGCTTATCCCTCAATCACCTTTTCTTCAGGGGATCAAGAGCGCTGGCCTACTTTGCCACCGACTTACTGTGGCCACTATTCCTACACGAACAAAGAAATTTGGTGACTCATTTCTTTGTCGTACTATTCGTAAGTGGAATTCTTTACCCGCGCACGTGTTCCCTCCTTCCTATAATCTGGGGTCCTTTAAGAGAGGCGTGAAGAAGCATTTTTGCGGGCCGGCAAGGTGAGGATGATTGGTGTAGCAGTTTATATCTGCTGTGCCAGCTATCTTCGCGTTTGGACTTTATCACCACTTAACATCAGGTGGGGTAGAGTCATTTGCCTACCTAGTAATATATAGAAAAAAAAAGTTTGATTGATAAACATGTCGCGAGTATGAATTAAATGTTTTCCTCAACAATAAAAGTACGTCATCGCGGAACGCCCAGCGATTATTGACCCTTTTTTAAGAGTAAAATATATTGTTAAGAGAAAAACTGAGAAAGACAACGAAACTCTTACATCTGTTGACTAAATTACATAAGTACTTGTAGGTATTTGCCATTTTTAAACTCGCCTCAATACATCGAGCCCTTACCGCCAAATTATCGTAAGCGACACTCGCCAAATTATCGTAAGCGACACTTTTGTCGAAATGCGTTTTTTGTGGAAACTAATATTTTAAACCGTAACGGATCCATCTCTGTTGATATTTCCCTCCAAAAGAACACCGTTACAATATAATAGAGGGCAGAATAGAGGGAAATATCAACAGAGATGGGTCCGTTACGGTTAAAAATATTAGTTTCCACAAAAAACGCATTTCGACAAAAGTGTCGCTTACGAGTATTTGGCGAGTGTCGCTTACGATAATTTGGCGGTAAGGGCTCGACATGTTTTACATTGAAGCCTAATGTAACCTAACTCAGCTATGAGAACTTAAAACGAGCCACAAACCAGACATAAAATTTGTTTCAATAGGCTTGTTGACCCTTTTTGGAAAAAGGTTTTAAATGGTTAATAAATGTTCTATTTGACTGAAAAAAATGTATTGTATTTTTTTGACACCTAGAAAGCTACAAATCTTTAATTTTAAAATACACTTTTCATGGACATACAAAAACGCTGTAGGCCATTTTAGTTTATAAATTATCTTTGCTATGACGTCAACCAGTAGTAAACAAAAATTCGTAAGCACGTAGAAAATAACCTATCTGAGTTTATAATAAAAAAAAACATGATTTCTAATAAATACCACGAAAAATATAGTAATTATCATTATTGTAATGTAAAAACAATGTGGCTCTGAAAAGAGCCGTGGGTCTGAATAAATTCATTGGTTACTTCGTGGCTCTGAAAAGAGCCGTGGGTCTGAATAAATTCTTTGGTTACTTCGTGGCTCTGAATAAATTCTTAAGTTACATGGTAGGTCTGAAAAGAGCCGTGGGTCTGAATAAATTCTTTGATTACTTCGTGGCTCTGAAAAAAGCCGTGGGTCTGAATAAATTCTTTGGTTACATCGTGGCTCTGAAAAGAGCTGACGGTCTGAATAAATTTTTTGGGTACTTCGTGGCTCTGAAAAGAGCCGTGGGTCTGAATAAATTTTTTGGGTTCTTCGTGGCTCTGATAAGAGCCGTGGGTCTGAATAAATTCTTTAGTTACATCGTGGCTCTGAAAAGAGCCGTGGGTCTAAATAAATTCTTTGGTTACTTCGAGGCTCCGAAAAGAGCCGTACATCTGAATAAATTCTTTGGTTATATCGTGGCTCTGAAAAGAGCCGTGAGCCTGAATAAATTCTTTGGTTGCTTCGTGGCTCTGAAAAGAGCCGCGTGTCTGAATACTTGCTTTGGTTACATCGTGGCTCTGAAAAGAGCCGTGGGTCTGAATAAATTCATTGGTTACATCATGGCTCTGAAAAGAGCTGTGGGTTTGAATAAATTCTTTGGTAACATCATGGCTCTGAAAAGAGCCGTGGGTCTGACTAAATTATTTGGTTACTTCGAGGCTCCGAAAAGATCCGTAATTCTGAATAAATTCTTTGGTTACATCATGGCCCTGAAAAGAGCCGTGAGCCTGAATAAATTCTTTGGTTGCTTCGTGACTCTGAAAAGAGCCGCGTGTCTGAATACTTGCTTTGGTTACTTCGTGGGTCTGAATAAATTCTTTGGTTATATCGTGGCTCTGAAAAGAGCCGTGAGTTTGAAAAAAGTCTTTGATTACATCTTGGCTGTGAAAAGAGCTAAGGGTCTGAATAATTTTTTTGGTTACTTCGTGGCTCTAAAACGAGCCGTGGGTCTGAATAAATTCTTTGATTACATCATGGCTCTGAAAAGAGCCGTGACTCTGAATAAATTCTTTGGTTACCCCGTGGCTCTTAAAAGAGCCGCGTGTCGGAATAGTTGCTTTGGTTACGTCGGGGCTCTGAAAGAACCGAGGGTTTCAATAAATTATTTGGTTACATCGTGGCTCTGAAAAGAGCCGTGAATCTGAATAAATTATTTGGTTACTTCGAGGCTCCGAAAAGAGCCGTAATACTGAATAAATTCTTTGGTTGCTTCGTGGCTCTGAAAAGAGCCGCGTGTCTGAATACTTGCTTTGGTTACTTCGTGGCTCTGAAAAGAGCCGTGGGTTTGAATAAATTCTTTGGTTATATCTTGGCTCTGAAAAGAGCCGTGGGTTTGAATAAATTGTTTGGTTACATCTTGGCTCTGAAAAGAGCTAAGGGTCTGAATAAATTTTTTGGTTACTTCGTGGCTCTGAAAAGAGCCGTGGGTTTGAATAAATTCTTTGGTAACATCATGGCTCTGAAAAGAGCCGTGGGTCTGAATAAATTATTTGGTTACTCCGTGGCTCTCAAAAGAGCCGCGTGCCCGAACAGCTGCATTGGTTATATCGGGGCTCTGATAGAGCCGTGGGTTTGAATAAATTATTTGGTTACTTCGAGGCTCTGAAAAGAGCCGTATATCTCAATAAATTCTTTGGTTATATCGCGGCTCTGAAAAGAGCCGTAAGTCTGAATAAATTCTTTGGTTGCTTCGTGGCTCTGAAAAGAGCCACGTGTCTGATATCTTGCTTTGGTTACATCGTGGCTCTGAAAAGAGCCGTGAGTCTGAATAAATTCTTTGGTTGCTTCGTGGCTCTGAAAAGAGCCGCGTGTCTAATAAATACTTGCTTTGGTTACATCGTGGCTCTGAAAAGAGCCGTGAGTCTGGATAAATTCTTTGGTTGCTTCGTAGCTCTGAAAAGAGCCGTGGGTCTGAATAAATTCTTTGGTTACATTGTGGCTCTGAAAAGAGCCGTGGGTCTGAATAAATTCTTTGGTTACATAGTGGCTCTGAAAAGAGCCGCGTGTCTGAATAAATTCTTTGGTTACCTCGTGGCTCTGAAAAGAGCCGTGTCTGAAAAGTTTCTCTGGTTACGTCGTGGCTCTGAAAAGAGCCGTGGGTCTGAATAGATTCTTTAGTTCATCCGTCGTAGCTCTGAATATATTCTTTGGTTACGTCGTTGCTCTAAACAGATTCTGAAAAGAGCCGCGTGTCTAATAAATACTTGCTTTGGTTACATCGTGGCTCTGAAAAGAGCCGTGAGTCTGGATAAATTCTTTGGTTGCTTCGTAGCTCTGAAAAGAGCCGTGGGTCTGAATAAATTCTTTGGTTACATTGTGGCTCTGAAAAGAGCCGTGGGTCTGAATAAATTCTTTGGTTACATAGTGGCTCTGAAAAGAGCCGCGTGTCTGAATACTTGCTTTGGTTACTTTGCGGGTCTGAAAAAAAATTTTTGATTACTTCGTGGCTCTGAAAAGAGCCATGGAATAAATTCTTTGGTTACATTGTGGCTCTGAATAAATTCTTTGGTTACTTCGTGGCTCTGAAAAGAGCCGTGTCTGAAAAGTTTCGCTGGTTAAGTCGTAGCTCTGAACCGTCGTAGCTCTGAATATATTCTTTGGTTACGTCGTTGCTCTAAACAGATTCTTTGGTTACATAATGGGTCTGTAAAGAGCCGTAGATCTGAATAAATTATTTGGTTACACCGTGGCTCTGAAAAGAGCCGTCAGTCTGAATAAATTCCTTGGTTGCTTCGTGGCTCTGAAAAGAGCCGCGTGTCTAAATACTTGCTTTGGTTACTTCGTGGCTCTGAAGAGAGCCGTGGGTCTGAATAGATTCTTTAGTTCAACCGTCGTAGCTCTGAATATATTCTTTGTTACGTCGTTGCTCTGAACAGATTATTTGGTTACATAGTGGCTCTGAAAAGAACCGTGGGTCTGAATAAATTCTTTGGTTACATCGTGGCTCTGAATAAATTCTTTGGTTATTTCGTGGCTCTGAAAAGAGCCGTGGGTCTGAATAAATTCTTTGGTTACATTGTGACTCTAAAAAAAGCTGTGGTTCTGAACAGATGCTTTGGTTACATCGTGGTTCTTAATATATTTTGTGTTACAAAGTGGCTCTAAACCGATTCTGAGATTACAACGTGGCTCTAACAAGAGCCTTCCGTTATTTTAAAGTTGTGAAAATTTCGTTTTGTTATCATATAACTGCGCAAAAAGCCAATATAAATGTATCGGTAAATGCGACCTGCGTCCGTCCATTAGAAGTAACGATGATTCAGTGAGAAATTCCCACAAGTCTTGCTATTGCCGAGGAAATAGTCATGGGAATAAAATACTAAGCGGATATCAGCAGTGATTTGGATACCAAAGGAGATCTGCCCACAAAGAGATGTGTCAAATAAATTTGCTTTTATATTTTTTTACCTGTCAGGGTCACTAGACACTAATACAACTCGGCTGTGAAAAATATAAATTAAAAAACTCTTTATTCAATAAAAACAAAATTTCAAAACATGACATCATACAAAACAATCTCCTTAAAGCGCGCCTAATAAAGAAAATGTCAAATTGATAAATATATTGTCCCTGTTTATAAAACTATTGACGTATAACTTATTATCCTGTCGATATCTTCTTAATGGCTTCGAACTATCTCTTTCTAACTTGTCTTCTTCTCTGTAAGAAATCATAATAACAATCCAGCACTAAACAGAATGCCAGAATACCAGCGCTGTTATGGTGGGAATATTCCATTCCTACTATAACAGCATTAAGCTGAGGCAGGGTCCTGATTGGCCTTTTCTCTCTCCATATTGTTACTCACTGTTGTTATTTTATTTTAGTTGTTATGTTTATTGTTTTTTTTTTTACATACTTGTGTAAGGTCAATAATAGCTATTTCTTTCTTTCTTTATTTCCTTCTTTCAAACAATAATATGATGCGTAAAAATATTGCTGGTAAAACTTGTGTATACCTACTGGAATTTGTTGTGCTGTTATTAACAATAAGTGACTTTTACTCATTACATAGCATAATTTTTAAAAATCAGCTCAATCACAAACTTGGAAGCGTGTCAAAGAACAATGCCAAGTGTCCATAGTAACTTTGGATTAATATAAAATGTTCACGGACAGCAATGAAAATAGTTTTATTGTGTGTTGTTAATAACTAAAACATTTCCAGAACATTAAAAATTCTAAAGAACTTTGAACAAAAAAAAGACTTCGATAATATTAATAATTTTAAGTAAAATTTGTTAAGGGGTGGCTGACAAACAGCGTTGGTTCAGGTCTAGGCTTGACCAACATTGGCTGAGCCATTCCCTATTGTCCTATTTTTAATGAAATTTTATTTAAATAAATGGACACACACACACACACACAAACACACATACATACGCGCACGCGTCACCCACACTTCATAAAGGTATCATGTGACACATTCTTGAAAACCCTTTTATATGGATATTCAGTGTTTGTTTTTCTTCTTTTTTGTCATTTTGTTATGTTTTGTCCAATCTTAATTTTATTTTATTATTTATGTTGGTGAATTATATGATTTTTATACAATTTTTAAAATTAAATTAAATGTAATAATTACTGACATATAATAACGCCGTTAATATCTAATGTGTACATAATGAGTTTCTGTGATTGGCCTTAAGATTATATCTATATTTTATTGTATTAAATTTCACAAAAAACCGCTGCAGAAACTTTGTTAAAGATAAATAAATAAATAAATATCTAAAGAAAATATAACTAGAAAAAATTCCACGCGGACCAGGCAGCAGACGGGACTCGAACCCGCACCCTTCGCAATCCGGGCGAATGCACTGACCAATTATGCTACCGCGGCCCTCACGGACCGCGTCGAAATTCTTTCTAGCTATTCTTAAGCTGCAAGGCAGCGCCATCTCTTCGCATTATAGGTAAACCCACAATGTCAAATGAATACTTTTACAAGTATTAAACATTTGAAAGAAGAAATAGCAATTATAGTTATAATTTTTATTATTTTTAAAGCATGTAACTGCTTGATGTTTAAATCTAAAGAAAATATAACTAGAAAAAATTCCACGCGGACCAGGCGAATAATAAAAATTATAACTATAATTGCTATTTCTTCTTTCAAATGTTTAATACTTGTAAAAGTATTCATTTGACATTGTGGGTTACCTATAATGCGAAGAGATGGCGCTGCCTTGCAGCTTAAGAATAGCTAGAAAGAATTTCGACGCGGTCCGTGAGGGCCGCGGTAGCATAATTAGTCAGTGCATTCGCCCGGATTGCGAAGGGTGCGGGTTCGAGTCCCGTCTGCTGCCTGGTCCGCGTGGAATTTTTTCTAGTTATATTTTCTTTAGATTTAAACATCAAGCAGTTACATGCTTTAAAAATAATAAAAATTATAAATAAATATCTGTTAACATGTAAAAAAAAAGACAATAAATTATTATTATTATTTACAAATATGAAATTTTGAGGTTATTTCAATTTCACTATCACCGTGCGGGAGTGGCTTCCACACCGCTTCTCATGGTGTCGCCATATCTGGGTTCTCAGGTTCGCTATACTCTGTCTCATTTATCCAGAAAAATAACTGTTTTACACTGTCTCGGGTCTGTGTTTGAGGTACCTTTACTAGTTGGTAGACCAATACTATTTTATATGCGCATTGTGGTAGACCCAAGTACGGTCATCTGGGTTGGTAATTACAATTAATAATACATTTCGATGATTATTCGAATCATTTTTATGAATGCAAGAAACGACTGATTCGAATTCACTATTGCTGTATTCTTTTAAGTTATCACATCAGTTATCAATGCCAGCGTGTCGTCTCGGAACTCTTTGTCTCTTTCTTTTTATTGCAATAAATCAGAGAGAAACAAAATGGCAACTCGATTTGTTAGATTTCCGGTCAGCTATTTGTTAATTAATAAATAAATTCTATTGGAGAAGTTCTCGATAAAAGATAAATGTAATATTATACATTCGAATTATTTATGTTCCTTGTTGTATGTAAAAGACATGTGTTCGTGCCATTTTATAATTAAAAGTTTTGTAAGCCAGAATCTGACATTGTTCTTTAACTTGCAAGATTCCATTACACAACCGTCAGGTGTAAGTAAATGAAAGCTTGTAAAACGGTTAAACTTTATCTAAAAGAGCTGCTACCTGAGACTAAGACTGGCAAATCCCCTAGAATCTTAAGAAAGAAAGGAAGAGGTGTGAATGAAAAAAAGCCTATGAAAAGGATGAAACGGAAATGCGTCACGAGCGTCACACAACTATATATATATACATATATATATATACATATATATATATATATATGTATGGTTGATGTGTGAGCTGCTCCATTCCCCTATGCCTTATGCAGCGCCTAATGTTAAATTATTTAAGAAAAGAAGTTACACTTATAATGTGTGGTCCGTGCAAACATTTTTTGTTTAGTTTTACGAGTATATCTGCACGGTAAATTTTACATATCACAAATTTTATGTTTTCATTGTCCGTTAAATTTTTAATAACAATATACTTTATAGCGTTTAAAAAAATAATTCACTCCTGCAAAGTCGGGACGGGTAGCTACTTAAAGGCCAAATTAACTCACTTCTGGTATTTCTCATTCTCCTCTCGAAGTCTGTCTATCTCTGCTTTAGTCTTGGTTATGTGTTCGGAGTAGAACTTCTTCTCGGCAGTTAATTCCTCTTGTAATTGTCTGCAATAAAGAGGTTTTTACTAAGTTTATTAAGCATTGCTCTTACTCAAGTAATAAAGCAAAAAAAATATACTAGAGAAACAATCACACAGTGAATAAATAAGGATAAGAGGAGCTCGATGGTGCAGATGGTTAGCGCGTTCGGCTGCGGTCGTTGAAGTTAAGCAACTTTCTCAGTGGTCGCTTGGATGGGTGACCAAAAATTTACTATCTCGAGCTCCTCCGTGCTTCGGAAGGCACTTTAAGCCGTTGGTCCCGGCTGCATCTGCAGTCGTTAGCACCCGCCAATCCGGACTCATAGCCCAATCTCCTTATTCCATCCATAGGGAAGGCCTGTGCCCCTGCAGTGGGGACATTAATAGGCTGATGATGAATAAATAAGTCTTGTCACATAACGTTTGTTCCAGTAAATTTTTCGTTAGTATTCTATGTAATGGAGATTGGACCTACCAATATCTTAACTCAAATGAGTTATAGCCTTTCTTGAAAAAACAAGAGATGCTTGGCTGTTATTTAAACCTAACTAAAAGGCTTAGCTGCAAGAGATTTCAATGAATAACAATAAAACTGACGTTTGTAAGAAATGAAATGTGATGTAACTGATTTAATACAACTTTTATGGTAATATTTTTTTATTATTTTAAAGCATGTAACTGCTTGATGTTTAAATGTAAAGAAAATATAACTAGAAAAAATTCCACGCGAACCAGGCAGCAGACGGGACTCGAACCCGCGCCCTTCGCAATCCGGATGAATGCACTGACCAACTATGCTACCGCGGCCCTCACGGATGCGTCGGAATTCTTCTAGCCATTCTTAAGCTGCAAGGCAGCGCCATCTCTTGACATTATAGGTAACCCACAATGTCAAATGAATACTTTTACATGTATTAAACATTTGAAAGAAGAAAATAGCAATTATGTTATTTTCTTTAGATTTAAACAAATTTTATGTTCAAAGACCAAAAATTGTATATCTTTTTTTTATTTATTTAGCCAGGTAGGCAAATGCCTCTACCCCACCTGATGTTAAGTGGTGATAAAGTCCAAACGCGAAGATAGCTGGTACAGCAGTTATAAACTGCCACACCAACCATCCTCACGTTGCCGGCCTGCAAAAATGCTTCACGCCACTCTAAATCTTCTCTCTCGCTCTTCTTCAGAAGGCAGGTTAATTTAATATATTGTGTGGAGATGTGAGGAGTTGAAGGCGCAGGTTAGCGGCCTGCGATTGTGGAAGTTAAGCGACTTTCGCAATGGTCGGTCATTGGATGGGTGACCAAAAGCGTATTGTCTCGAACATCTTCGTGCTTCGGAAGGCATGTTAGGCCGTTGGTCCCGGCTGCATCTGTAATCGTTAGCACCATTTCTGCTAGATCTCCGTTTAAAATTCCATCCATACGGAAGGTCTGTGCCCCAGCAGTGGGGACATTAATAGGCTGATGATGAACTACACAAACCTATTTATTCCCTTCTGCGCTTCATAGGCGGATGCAAGCTCTCCGTCTTCGTTAATAATGTCAACATCGGAGCCGTAGTTGGATGTAGCGAGCGACTTTAGATTCACCGTCTATACAAACAGAGTCTAAATTAGCTTAAAATGATCCTTTAGCAACATAGGAAAGTTTTTTTTTTTTAATTTAAAGTTGAAAAATGCGTCCGATTTTGAATTATGGTTTATTACGATTTTATTTCGTTGGGGTAAGGTCGTGTTTTGGGTGACAAAAACTTTTGCACACTAAAGTTATGAATACGTAAGGGACAATTGTTTAAAATTAAATTCGAAATCGAACTCATACAAATTTTTGTTTCACATTATTAATTTAGCAAAAATGCTGTGTAAACAAGAATTTGTCATTATTATAATTTGCTGATGTTAAAAAAAAACTACTCTACACATTTTTTTTAAATGTATTTATTGAAGATGCTACTTACATCCTTAAATGATGCAATGTAATTGAAAGCGCTAATGCAAGCGGAAAATCCGCTAGATCCTACCATTTCTATCTATTCGCAAAAAACTAGTGAAAAGTAGTGATAACATTTTACTTTTTAAAATCTACTACTATCGAATTTTGCTAAATCAACAAATCATAACATCATGCATTGCACACAAATAAAATTTAAGTAACAAAGAAAAAAAATATAATACCGTGCAATGACAGCAAAAGAATGCGTGTGAGAAATAAGAAATAAAATTAGTTACATCAACATAAATGTTTGGAAAAGAAGTAAATTTGAACGTCATGGTGACACTTAAAGCAGACAAGTAGTTTGTAAGAATTTGGTCTTTCGCTTGCGCTCAACTCAAAACTTTACAAAAAATGGATTTTTTTTCTAAGACTATTGATGGACCGGTGTTTACCATGCAAAATTAGACAAAGAGTAATATCTTTTCGTTCGTTTTCAAAACTATAGCTCATTTTTCACCCCTCAAGTTTAAGTAGTCTAGAGCCTCCAGACGGAGAGGAGACCCCCCGTGGGGAGATGCCATCCGCCTGGAACACCTCGCACTCGCCAATTCTCGGCTTGAGGTCCCGTTAGGATCTCGCCGTCCCCAAACCCGATGACGCTGTAAAGGTCATCTGCGACCAACAGCATAGACACTCAAAAAAACATTTTTTCAGCGGGCACAGTACCTTATCCCGTTTGTCGTAGTGTTTGTCCGTTTTAAGAGTCACCTGCGTTAAATAAAATGGCAAGAAATAAAATGCCTTATTAACATGCCAAAGGCCACAGTTTACAATGGTAATCTTCTTTGCACTGTTATATTATGTAAGAATGTAGAAAAAAAAGACACCGAAACATGCTTAAGTTACATTAAAGGTAAAAGTGAGTCTTTAAAAAAATCATACTACCATCTTTGTTAGATATATTAGCAAAAATGAACTTCATTTTAAATAGTGCAAATTTTTAAGTAGGTATTAAAATAACTTTCAAAAGGCAACTTCCTGAAAATAGGGTATTTGACAGCATCTGTGTTAAGAATGAATATTGGCAATTTTTTTTTAATTATTTTACAAAAAAAATATTTATTATTTTACTAAAAACCCACGAAAAAGATAATAGCTTTCTTATCTATTGTCATGTGACCCAAAGCGCTAGGGATTGGCGGAGCCTAAAATGACGTCACACGCAAGTAAACTTCCGGTTAGTGACATTACATTGTATCATTTGACGTTTTAATAACAGTCGTGTGACGTCCCACACTAGTAAGACGCCATATTGTCCAGATAAACGTTTTCGCGGCAACATGAAAATGGAGTTTTTGATTTGGTTATTTTTACTGAAATACTCAACAGAATGATGAATATCTTCTTACGGACTCCATAAACATTAGTCAATAATGTGAGATCGTTTTCTAAAACTTGTCAAATACCCTATTTTAATTAAAAAAGATTACAAAACCAAGTAGCATTTAGTACAGATACAATTTATACGAGTGAGTATGACGGTAACAGCTTGTGCCATGACACAGTGTGATACCATGTCGGTATAAAAATAAAGTTCATTTTGCTACAAACACGAGGTTGTATGAAGGTTCATCATGCAGAGATTATTGAATGCATGAACTATAGAAAGCATCGACAGTAAGTCCATGCTACTCACGACATTTTTCAGAGCTTGTTGGAACCATGGTTTCTGAATTAGAAAAAAATGTTCTTATTAAAAAAAACATAACACTAAATTATATAATTAATTTTAATAATTTATTGAAGTGAAACTTCTTTCTAACAATTTAATGTGTGAACTATTGGAGTGACGTTTTAACATAATAGGCTAGTTGACACTTTTTGGAAATATGTTTTAAATGGTTAATAATTGTTCAATTAGACCGAAAAAAAATGTATTGCAATTTTTTTTACTAGCTACAAAAATTTAATTTTAGAATAGATTTCTCATGGACATACAAAAACGCTGTCGGCCATTTAAGTCTATAGATTATCTATGGTATGACGGTAATAATAGTAAACAAACACTCGCAAGCACGTAGGATATAACCTATCTGAATTTACATTATAAAACCATGATTTCTAATAGATTTCATGATAAATATAGTAATTATCATGATTGTATTAAACGAGAATAAAGAAACACATCGTTAAAAACTCCAGAAATGTTGTGGTTTCAATTTTTAAGGTTATGAATGTACCTGCTAAGTCAAAGAGTTTTATCGTTTCTACTTTCACAAATACGGCGTCCAGCATTAATTTAGTCAAGAAAACCAATAAACGGAAACTTTTCTTCAAGATATAAGAGTTTTTAGATATATTTTAGTCGGACGAAAGAAACCACAGTAACACGACAATGACGTTTAGTTGTTTTGCTATTATGTTGACGTCACAATCATGGTTGACAGCGTTTTTAGTGTTTAAAAAGCATAGACTAAAAAACTATTTTTCAAATTAAATTACTACAGCCATCTTCTAATTTCATGAAGTGAAATCGATGTATTTAAGTTCCTCATACCAAAAATTATAAGAAATAAACATTTGTCATAGTGTAATTTGACATAAGTCAACTAGCCTATTGGTCTATAGAACTTTGAATGATCTGACAAGGTTATATGGCGTGTATGTAAGAGAGAAAGAAAGAAATAATTTACTGACCCATTGGTCACATTTCAAAATAGAAATACAAGCATAAATAAAAACACAGATTAAGGTCAACTAGGCCCCTGCTTCAGCACAATGCAAGGACACCAAGGCCGCTGCGGCGCTAATGTTCTGACAGGGAACAAAGTTGACGTGAATAATATGAAGAGCCGTGTGCTTAATTTGGGACCCACGTAAGGTCGAAATTCGTACAGCAAATTTCCTATGCCAACCGAATACGCTGCTATGAAAATATAAGCACTGTATACAATGTGTTAGTAGAGACAACTATTCAGTTTACGCGCCATGCATCGCATCGTCAAAGTTTCTATGAAAACTAAGTAGCAGCGCCCCTATCGGAGATATGCTCAAACTAGCTTTTCCATACAAATATTAAAGATTGATCGGAAATGATCACTCGATTTACTATCTTTTTTGGGCAACGTCCTTTGCTATGAGATTATTTTGGTATCATTTATGAAGAATAAAAAGAAAGCGAGTGTGCTTATGACCACACGACTGAAATGAAACTTCTTTAGCTCCATTGATCTGAAAATCATAAACTTAACCTGAAGATTTATAAGTCCGTTATCACCCTCCAATCCGCGCTGGGATCGTTATCACCCACCAATCCGCACTGGGTCCATTGTCACCCACCAATCCGCACTGGGTCCATTGTCACCCACCAATCCGCACTGGGTCCATTGTCACCCACCAATACGCACTGGGTCCATTATCACCCACCAATCCGCGCTAGATCCGTTATCACCCCCTAATCCGCACTGGGTCATTGCACTCCTTCTCCAGGTAAACTGTTACTACGAAAAATCTATTTGTTTTTTTTTCACATGTCCAAGAGCATAATGTGCTTTAAAATGCCCATTCGTCATATCCCATCCATAAAGAAGGCCTGTGCCCCAGCAGTGGGGACATTAATAGGCTGATGATGATGGGTACTATGTTAAAAACAAATATGCAAATAAAGTCTTTCACCTGTTTTTTTCTGAACGTCAAACCACTTTGTACCAACGGCGTATCCTTGCCATTAAGAAAACCCATTGATTTATCCAAAAACAAAGTTTTGGACATTTTAAACTCTTTCCTGAAATCACTTAACACTTGATTTACCTTCATGGTCTCTTCTTAACTGTTAGTTCCGCGTAAAGACAATGTGCAACTCCGAAACAGTTTCCATAGTGAACAATTTTCAACCTTAACGTGTCACAAATTAAGTTCATTATTGGCAATTACACTGATTCTATGTATGTTTAAGTAGTATATTGAATGAATAAATAAATATTTAGTATCAATATTGTTTTAGTGTCCAGGTTGTGGAGTTTTGTAACTTATGCTTGCTTAGATATGTAAGTGATACGGTTTAGGGTTCCCTCGGACATTTTTTTACTTAAGAAATTTTTTTACTGTATCTTTGATTGGTTTAGTGGGTGAGAATACTTAAACAATTAGCTTGTTAATAACCAATGTACAACTCTTGGAATTTTCTTTTTGGCAGGATCGGGAAGCGTAACTTTAGCAGTTTTGTTTTTCTTGTTAAAAATTGTGTCGTGGCGGATGTTAGTGTCTAATAATGGTGGATTATTAACCACTAAGTGTTCGGAAACATGCTCAAGTGTTGGCAAGTGAAACAAAATAGCGGAAAGTGTCTTTCGACGTTCCCTCAAGGAGTCCACGGGGAGGTTCCAGTAAATCCCCACACATTTACTGAAACATAGGGAAAGGGGTATTGACTTGACTGCCACTTACTTTGACTTGACTAATATTTTGACCACGAGTACTATAAAATATGTAAACATTTTACACTTGACATGGGCTAAATGCACAAACCGTGCAAAGCCATATAGAAAAAAAAACTCTTGGAATTAGATATCTTTAAATTGTATATCCGAGTTATCTACAAAACCGTATTATTCTTACAAAATGGATTTTTCTTTGTTGTAGATAATAATTTTAATAATTAAGTAAATCTTCTCTTTTTCTCGAAACAGAAATCATAAAAACAAAAGAAATATACAATAATGGACTGATTAAATTAAAAAAGCGACAAAAGTACACACTCAATATGCCTCTCAAGAGTGTCAATAAAAAAATCTAATAATTCAAATTAATTGTGGCGGCGACATCTACACGTCCCACATATAACTAACATGGAGGAAACAATCTTACGCCTCCTCGAGAGATGGCACTACTGGCGCTGCGTTCACGACGTAAGGAAGCCTGCATCGCGCAAGTAAAATTCGGTAGCCAACAGTTCATATACGATGATGCCCGACCAATATCAGTCGGATCGCGGCCCCCGAGCTACCATCACCCAGCTCGGAGGAAGATCTTCCCCTTTGGCCTTCCTACATAATAATCACTTTAAAAATAATATCATTATTCATTTTCTCTTACCCGTGCGCATTCAATTTGGTTATTCAAAACTAGAAAATATCAAGTGCTCTTGCTACATTGGGTACTATTAATCGTTGTATTTAACTTTAATCGTACATTTTTTCAGTAGGAGACGGCATTCCTAAACATTCCAAAACTTGAACTTTCTTAAATCAGTCTTTTGTATATGTTTATTATATAGTCATAATTTTTATATTATTTACATTTGTAATGGCAAGTGACTTCATGAGTTATCTCATATTGAAGTCATTTCTAATTTTTTTTAAAGCATGTAACTGCTTAATGTTTAAATCTAAAGAAAATATAACTAAAAAAATTCCACGCGGACCAGGCAGCAGACGGGACTCGAACCCGCACCCTTCGCGAACCGGGCGAATGCACTGACCAATTATGCTACCACGGACCGCGTCGAAATTCTTCCAGCCATTCTTAACCTGCAAGGCAGCGCCATCTCTTCGCATTATAGGTAACCTACAATGTCAAATGAATACTTTTACAAGTATTAAACATTTGAAAGAAGAAATAGCAATTATAGTTATATTTTATTTTTTATATATATATTTTTTTGAAATCATTTTTCAATTTGACGACTCTGTATATAATACAAAAAGAAAAAAACAACCCTCGCCGAGTTTCTTGCCGGTTCTCCTCAGTACAAGGTCTCCCGCCGTAGATTTGCGAACCGATGGCGTAGCTTTTCGACATTCACAAGTGCTTGTAACAGCCTAGACTGAATAAACGATATTGTATTTTTTTTTATTTATCAATAAAAAAATATTGAATTTTAGACAGAACCCTATAGTTTATTGTACTTCTCAGTGTTTTATGGTATTCCTTATCGCTTGTCCGATATGTCAACTTTCCGTTATGATGCTGTGATAACGCCATTCAAAAATATTGCGTGACACCTTACTATGCGGTGATACGTGATGTTAAGACTTTTTTGTTATAACACATCTCTTATCTAATAGACAAGTCCGTCCGTCCGTCCGTGGTGTTGTTTCAGCGGCCAAACCGAAAGAGATAGATATAGAGAATGTTTAAGTTATAAGTTAAGAATAGTCTGATAAGACTACAAACCGGATGTGAGTAACGTAGCACTTCCGGTTTTCGAGAAATCACGTGATTTCTATTTCAAACGAAACCACACAAAATCTCCGAAGCTCTTAATTAATTAAATACATTTTTATTTTTTTTAATTTGTGAACATTTAGTTCACAATTTGCTAGTTTATAATAAACTGCTTAAATTTGAGACCCATTTCAGTGAATTACAGTTTGATGCTCAGAAAAATCGCATTACTTTATTTAAATCAGTATAAAAATGAAATGCCAAGTATTTTTATTGTGAATTTTACAACAAGTTTTATTTTTTTATTTTAATATGTCAGACAGTGTCGAACAAGCGAATGATATTGACAAGTATACTCGAACATAACGTTTTGTTTGAATCATTGGTTTGCAATAAATTTATGTTCTGATTAATTATTGAATTGCAACTTCTTTAGGCACTCTTGACTGGGGTGGTAAGCTGGTGAATGTGTGACTCATCGGTAAACAATGAACAATACCCGTCACAAAATACATGAATCTAGTGCTTGGTGGGTGATAACGGACCCAGCGCGGATTGGTGGGTGATAATGAACTCAGTGAGGATTGGTGGGTGATAACGGACCCAGCGCGGATTGGTGGTTGATAATGGAAAAGTGCGGATTGATGGGTGATAACGGACCCAGTGCGGATTGGTGGTTGATAATGGACTCAGTGCGGATTGATGGGTGATAACGGACTCAGTGCGGATTGATGGGTGATAACGGACCCAGCGTGGATTGGTGGGTGATAACGGACCGAGTGCGAATTGGTGGGTGACAATGGACTCAATGCGGATTGGTGGGTGATAACGGACCCAGCGCGGATTGGTGGGTAATAACAGACCGAGTGTGGATTGGTGGGTGATAATGGACCCAGTGCGGATTAGTGGATGATAACGGATCTAGCGCGGATTCTTGGGTGATAACGGACCCAGTGCGGATTGGTGGGTGATAATGGACCCAGCGCGTATTGGTGGGTGACAATGGGCCCAGTGCGGAATGGTGGGTGATAACGGACCCAACGCAGATTGGAGGGTGATAACGGACCCAACGCGGATTGGTGGTTTTTTTTCTATCAACAAATCTTCAGGTTAAGTTTATGATTTTCAGATCATTAGAACTAAAGAAGTTTCACTTCAGTCGCGTGGTCATAAGCACACTCGCTTTTTTTTATTTTTCATAAATAACACCAAAATAATCTCATAGCAAAGAACGTTGCCCAAAAAAGATAGTAAATCGAGTGATCATTTCCGATCAATCTTCCATTTTTGTATGGAAAAGCCAGTTTTAGCTTATCTCCGATAGGGGCGCTGCTTACTTAGTTTTCATAGAAACTTTGACGATGCGATGCATGGCGCGTAAACTGAATAGTTGTCTCTACTAACATATTGTATACAGTGCTTATATTTTCATAGCAGCGTATTCGGTTGGCATAGAAGATTTGCTGTACGAATTTCGACCTTAGGTGGGTCTCAAATTAAAACACACGTCTCTACATATTATTCACGTCAACTTTAGGCCCTGCCAGAACATTAGCGTTGCAGCGGCCTTGGTTTCGTTGCAATGTGCTGAAGCAGGGGCCTAGTTGACCTTAATCTGTGTTTTTAAATTATTTATAGCACAGTGTGACCTAAACCCGCACTTTACGCACGCTTTTCCGTGACCTAAGTTGCCTACTTCTGCACGGTGTGTAAATGAATTGACCAACTTCACTCATGTAGAATTAGTACATTACGATACGCGTAACTTAACTTTACTATGCCAATCAAGGAATAAACGTTCATGGATACATTGAAATTCTATTTTGTTGTAATGATATTTGACTTTTTCCTTTTGAAATATACTTTCAAAATGGTAATCTGAACCGGAATTCTTTCTTTTCAGAGTTTGACTTGCAGTCTGTATTGCAATTCTTTGTGATTGCAATACATGAATTTTACTTTCAAAACACTAATCGCATCCCTCGGAACTCCCCCTCTTGCCCGCGTCCGGGGCGGGTTTATGTCACACTTGCTATAAAATAGTATATGATACTTGTGGCCTAAGTTGTCTATTACTGCACGGCGTTTAGCACCGGGCGCTAACTTCACGCCGTGCAGTAATAGGCAACTTAGGTCACGCGTATCGTAATGTACTATTCTTTTTCTTTCTTACATACACTCCATATAACCTTGTCATATTATTTAAAGTTCTATAGACCAATTATGTAAAAACATCACTACAATAGTTCACACATTAAACAAAGAACAATTAATCACACTTAATAGATATGTGGGTGTGATTTTAACTTGGAACACATTACTCGGCCGCCCCCTGATAATCTATGTTCGTGAAGAATATTATGCAAGCTTTGATTACAAAATAAAATATCAATATCTGAAATTTGAATAATGTTTGAGACCTGTTATACATTTAAGGTTAATATATTAATCATGGAGGTTAGAGAGAAGGAACGATCGCTGTAAAAAACAGTGTCCCAGAATTAATATGGACAAAACAAGTGAGTCGCTGCCATCGCAAAGTTGTCTCAATAAAAGCGGGCTTTATAAAAAAATGTACATTATTCAACTAACTTCATCTCCTTGTACTCATAAACAGCTAACTTCACAGATACTATTTACCGACGGCAGCGCGGCTGGTGGCTGAAAATCTTTATATATTAAACTCAAAGGTGACTGACTGACTAACTGACATAGTGATCTATAAACGCACAGCCCAAACCACTGGACGGATCGGGCTGAAATTTGGCATGCAGGTAGATGTTATAACGTAGGCATCCGCTAAGAAAGGATTTTGATCAATTCTACCCCCAAGGGGATAAAATAGGGAATGAAAGTTTGTATGAAACTTTGTCAATTTTAAACTGATCGGGCTGAGACTTTGCATGCAGGTATAAGAAGAATCATAGATGAATGTCATTGTGTTTAATACAAGCCTGAGAACAAAAACTGTAGTATACACTTCAGCTCTACACCGAAGCGAAGCGAGGGCGGGCCGCTAGTAAACTATAAATTCTACAAATTTTCAGGGACAGGCGGGCTAATGCTTTAGCACGTAGCGATCGTTCGCCTTCTCTCCGACCACCATGATATTAATCTTAAATGACACATTTAAAGGTGTCGTGATACTTCTTCATGGAATACAAAGGTAAGTTTCCGATTTGTGATGAGACAGGGTCCTGAATGACCCAATATTATAACTGTTAGGTTTATCAATGTTTGTGATGCTTACTTACTTAATGTAATACTACATAAACACTCGCAGATGCCATATGATGACCGTGTTTCGTTAAGTAGACGTAGACCTTACATTTTGTGTAAGACAGGCAGTGTAAGATTAAATGTAGCTAGACGCCACTTCTGCTTTATATCTTCTGTTTTATACAACAAGGTAAACGGAGTTCTGAATATATTTCCTCTTACTCTTAGAAAATGCAGGGTAAAAACTATGGAATGGCTTCAAAGCCTGACATATTCTGATACAGAGGCATTATTTGGTACCTTATTGGGTTTGGCCTGATCATGTAGTGTAAATTTGGGCTATACATACTCTCACACATACACACACACACCCACCCACACACACTCGCACACACACCCTCACATAAATACACACATAAGACACAAACACGCATTTAATTTCTGTTTTAATATTAAATTAGGATTGAGATTAAAATTAAAATTATTGTAGCAAAAATTGTTTTCTGGAGGTGGGCGTTAATAACTGCGACACAGTTTGATAACTAATGCAGTTATTATCGATCACTATTTTCATTGTATCTTTGTTTTGATTTTAATAAATATGTTAAGCTGTTTATAATTATATGTTTGTGTTTTTATTGGTCAACAAAATGGTTCTCACTCTCTCTCTCTCTCTCTTTCTCTTTCTCTCTCATATAACATCTATGATTAACTAACATCTTACCTGATTGGAGAGTACGCTCTTCAACTGTATGCATTCGTCACGTCTCCTGTCCAATTCTTGTTGCATTATACCCAATTGTTCTGTGAAAACAATATAACTTTACCAACGGGCTAGTTGACAATTTTTGAGAAACTTCGTTCGTTTAAATGTCACTCTTTTAAACAGCGCGTAATGATTGCGTTTAAACGTAAATAAATAAACTCAAGAGCAATGAAAATAGGCCGGTTAAACGTTATTTTAATTTTAGAAATGAAACTTCTTTACGCACTCTTGACTTGGGGAGTACGCTGGCGAACGCGTTACGAAAAGTGTGATCGGGCGAGGCGAACGGGAACTGAGTGGGGGATATAAGCAAGAGGAAGCAGTGCGCGCGCGCATTTGCTTTCTCTCTAGTAAAGGAAATATGTATATGTACATACATTTATATATTTATATATATACATACAGATAGAGCTAAAGAACTTTCACTTCAGTCGTATAGTCATAAGCATACTGGTTTTTCATCTTATATATCTTATTTTAATCTGTTGTTTGAACAGTAGTACCCCTAGCATGAACCAATATCGAATTCGAATAGTTTTCGAATGCGAAACGTCAATGTCAAATTTTGTATGGAAACTCGGAACAGTAGCGCCAAAACGGACGTTACGAGAACTAAAAATCAGTACACATTTGACGTATATCTAGATCGAATTTAACTATTCGAATTCGATAATAGTTCGTGCTAAAGATACAAAATACCATTTTATGGAAATAATGGTCAAGCAACGTATGATTCATCCTGCTACTAACTCAGTTTCAATCTTATCACAAAGCGTTAAAGTTCCGAGTTCTATAGTATGTTTACCAATGACCAATGTCCTAGACGACTTCTAGTCTATCCAAATTTTTAAAAACTTATTTCTCTACTCTCTCTAACTCTAAACACTTAAATTTCAACCTCAACACTATGCACTCAAGTTCATTTTTAGCATTTTACCAATGACTCCGTTGGTCACTCATCTATCCAATTATTATGAAAACCTTTTCTCTGATACACTTAAATTTCAACCTAATAAAATTGTTTGTGAATGTTTGACAGTATTAAAAATAAACCTATGTTTAGAATGAATATTGGCTGGGGCTTTTACTATTTTTACAAAAAAAATCATAATTTTACTAAAAACGTACGAAAAAGATAATTTCTTTCTTATCTACTGTCACGTGACCGGAAACGCTTGGGATTGGCTGAGCATAAAATGAGTTCACACGCAAGTAAACTTCCGGTTAAAGTGACATTACATTGTATCGCTTTTAATGTTTTAATAACAGTCGTGTGACGTCACACACTAGTAAGACGCAATATTGTCCAGAAAAAAGTTTTCGCGGCAATTTGAAAATGGAGTTTTTGATTTGGTTATTTTTACTGAAATACACAACAGAATGATGAATATCCACTTTTTACGGACTCCATAAACATTAGTCAATGACGTGAGATCGTTTTCTAAAACTTGTCAAATAACCAATTATATATTTGGTGTTATAATAAAGTGTTAATCTATCTATCTAATCTTCATGTGTTAAAGTTCATATTCCTATAGTAAACTTACCTGTAACTTCTTTGGATACCAAAACACTATCTCCAGTATCACTCAATCTATTCAAATGTTCTCGGAGCTTATTCTCTAATACACATAAATTTCAGCCTTATTATAATGCTCTAAAGTTCATATTCCTATAGTAAATTTACCTATAACTTCTTTGGATACCAAAATACTATCTCCGGCAACTCTCAATCTATCCAAATGTTTTCGAAGCTTATTCTCTGTAACACATCAATTTCAGCCTTATTATAATGCTGTAAAGTTAATATTTCTATAGTAAACTTACCTATAACTTCTTTGGATACCAAAATACTATCTCCGGCAGCTCTCAATCTATCCAAATGTTCTCGAAGCTTCTTATTTTCTATCTCCAACTCTTCGACCTTGAATCTGTCGATGTTGGGGTTCGAAGGAGGCGAGGAGAGGCGATCTGAGTGAGAAATTATATAAATACTAGCTGTCCCAGCGACCTTCGTACCGCCTTAAAAATTGGGGTTGATTGTAAAGGGTTGAAAATTCAGGGTTATATGTATTTACTAATGCTGTATCATAAAAAAAATAAAATAAATAAAAATTATCTAAAATTAAAAAAAAAATAGGGGTGAATCACCCTTAACATTTAGGGGGATGAAAAATAGATGTTGTCCGATTCTCAGACCTACCCAATATGTACACAAAATTTCATGAGAATCGGGAAAGCCGTTTCGGAGGAGTTTAACCACAAACACCGCGACACGAGAATTTTATATATTAGAAATATTATATAATATCGCGTACATTGCTATAATATTACTGCCGCACTCAGAAGATACCAGTTCTGTTTAAAATGCATTTGAAAGTGACCTTTTGCAAAGTAAGCGTGACAGTATTAACTTTTATCGAATTTGAAAATTGATTTTCGTTTCTTAGTGCGATTATAATGTGGTAAGTTTTAAAAATATCTCTTATCTATTAGACAAGTCCGTCCGTCCGTCCGTCTGTCTGTGGTGCTGTTTCAGCGGCCAAACCGTAAGAGATAGATAAAGAGAATGTTTAAGTTATAAGTTAAGAATAGTCTGATAAGACTACAAACCGGATTTGAGTAACGTAGCACTTCCGGTTTTCGAGAAATCACTTGATTTCTATTTCAAACGAAACCACACAAAATCTCCGAAGTTCTCAATTAATTAAATACATTTTTTTTAAATCAGGTATTGGTGAACATTTGGTTCACTGGTTTGCTAGTTTATAATATAATTAGTCATAATTAGTTAAAGGCTGGCGACCTTTTATCTTTAATAAAACGTTATGAATTAAAGAAAGAAAGGAATTTAATTTGTAACAACATGTGTAAGAAAGATGTTCTGTATCTGTCTCTACAATCGCAGTCCTTAGTACGAGTTTTAATTTAAGAAGACGCAAATGATTTAATGGTAGAATTTAAACACTATTTATTTGTATTGAAACAAAAACAATAAAATCAGTACCCTTAGTACGAGTACGAGCTTACGATGATAGTTTTCGTGAGCTCGAACTCGTACTAAGGGTACAGTTGTATTATTTAACGCCGCGAACCGCCAACACTGCGCACATTTCGGCTCTTTTCTTTTTAATTTAACTTGCTATGTATGTTTGTTACGGTCAAATCTTACAACTCAATTTTAAAGCACTTGCTCTCAACCGATTAAGCTGAAATTTGATAAGCTCGTTCAGTTCGTATGACAATGCATGATTAACAGTGTGACGTCATTCTAAATCCAATATGGCGGCATACCCAAAATGGCGGACCAATCATTTTTAATGCATTCCTACAATATGGGTATCAAATTAAAGGGCTTGCTGAGAGTAACTCGAAAAAAACGTGACGTCACTCTCAATCCAATATGGCGGACTTCTAAAATTTGAAAATCTATTTAGAAACAGATATCTTTAACTAATTTAGTTGAAATTTTCTTTTTTTCTTTTTAGCGCATTTGAATAAAAGCTTGTTTTTAAAAAGGATTTTTTAACATAATTTTATTGGTATTAAAGTTAGACGAAGGTATAGACTAAGATCGCTTCCAAGGAGGTTAGGTTGAAATAAAAAAAAACTTAAATGATAGACACGGCGCCATGTATGTGAGCGGTAAAATATTTTACCGCACGCTCCGTGGTAATTTTGAACTCTCGAATAATGTATATCAATTTTTTTTTGAGCAAATGTGTTGATAAAGTTTTTTCTTCACTTACTAATATAATATACTTACTCATAAGTCGTTCTTCTAAATCATTCGCTCGCTTTGCTGTCCTAGACAGTTCGCTCTGAAGAGCAGATATTCTGTTCTGCATTCTCAACACCAGACCAGCGTCGGCGATCTAAACATTAATAGTGGTTATCAATATTCAGGAGGAGCTCGATGGCGCAGGTGGCTAGCGCGTTCGGCTGCGATCGTTGAAGTGAAGCAACTTTCGCAGTGGTCGGTCATTGGATGGGTGACCAAAAATCTTTTATCCCGAGTTTTTTCGTGCTTCGGAGAAGGCACGTTAAGCCGTTGGTCCCGGCTGCATCTGCAGTCGTTAGCACCCGCCAATCCGGACTGGGCCCGCGTGGAGGGTCATGGCCCAATTCCCTGGAAGATTTTGAAGGCCTATGCCCCAGCAGTGGGGACATTAATAGACTAATGATGATCAATATTCTTAATCTGTAAAGGGTTACAGAAAAAGTCGACGTTAATATTAAAAGATATTATTTTTTAGATCAATAGATAATAGATTTGACTCAATGACCAATTATCAAAAAGTTAACAATTTAAATAAATAAGTTTAGCTGTTTATCTTAAAAGTACATTTTTTAAAGAAAATATAACTAGAAAAAAATCCACGCGGACCAGGCAGCAGACGGGACTCGAACCCGCACCCTTCGCAATCCGGGCAAATGCACTGACCAATTATGCTACCGCGGCCCTCACGGACTGCGTCGAAATTCTTCTAGCCATTCTTAAGCTGGAAGGCAGCGCCATCTCTTCGCATTATAGGTAACCCACAATGTCAAATGAATACTTTTACAAGTATTAAACATTTGAAAGAAGAAATAGCAATCAATTCTTTTTTCTAGTTATATTTTCTTTAGATTTAAATATCAAGCAGTTGCATGCTTTAAAAAAATAAAAAATATTATAAGTACATTGTTTTGTTGTAATTTCATGTGTTTTATCTCTTTATTATAGTTTAATGTTATAATTTAAACTATAATAAATTAATAAAAAGTATAAGTTGGAGAAAGAATAGAAATAAAAAACAATTGTTAAGTTTAGCTAACTAGAAGGAAAGAAAGACGAAACAAACTCGTATAGAATAAGAAAGAGCAGATACTGTAAATAAAAGATAAATAATAATATTAAAAAGAACCAAATGTAATAGATATTAAGAACAGTTAAATGTAAAAATTTAAAAAGAATAAAAAAGAGAAAAGAAAAGCTTGAACAAAAAAAAATAAGACAAAAAGAAAAGAAAAACTCTAAAAAAAAAATAGAAATACAAAAACAAAAAGAAAGAAAAAGTCCTGCCACTGAGTGGGGAGGCCGGATAAAAAAAAATGTTATAATTACATAATACCTACCGGCATTGGTCCATTATGAGAGCCTGCAGACCAGTTGACAGCTTCTAAGGCAGGACGGGTGCTTTCCACAGATCTTACGGATCCATACCCATAATCCTGGCCCATAGAATGGAAACATCAATATAAATAAAATAGCTTCTAACTTTTGCATGAGGAGCTCGTTGAAGTTAAACAACTTTCGCATTGGTCGCTCATTGGGATGGGTGACCAAAAATTTCTCCATGTTTTATTATTTACAGAGCCGTCAAGTAGAAAAATTACTTCAGAGATGATTCATGAAGTCACCTTTCATTACATAATGTGAAGTATACATTAATTGTGGACCTGTATTAAAAAGTGTTATTGGTATTAGGTATAACTAGTTAATATATTCAATAGCAAAGATGTTAGAGCAGACTTATTTTCGCTGGCAGCACCCGTTCACGAGCATGACGCATGAACCAGTCCCATTAATAATCCTTTTTATTTCTTGTAAACGTCATAAAATTAACTTATAAAACAAAACATCTTTTCGTTTTAATCTGCGCATTGATAAATCGGTGAATCAAAATTCAGAATTTCAGTGACTTCCCCAAAAATTTTTGAAATAAAAAATTCAAGGAATTACTGTTGTAACTATTTTTTCTATATTCTCGTATTTAAATAGATCTATAGATGCTTTTAATTTTTTTTTTTTTATTTAATAATGAGAAAAACACTTGAAATAGTCTCTCTAATAGCGGTTAAGATTAAAACTCAATCAACTTACATCTTCCACCGCCGTTTCCTGTTGGGAAGTATTGCTGGCGTCGGACAATGATCTTCTGTGCTCCTTTGTTGGTGGAGCTCTGTACAAAAAAAAAAAAACAGCCCTTATTTAATTTACAATGAAAATAATTTACTTCTGAAAAGAATATATATCTCATTGTATCGGCGTTATGCGTACTCTGCAATGAAGCTCAGTTGTTTCTTGAATAATGCGTATATCTATATATATATAAAACTCAAAGGTGACTGACTGACATAGTGATCTATCAATGCACAGCCCAAATCACTGGACGGATCGGGCTGAAATTTGGCATGCAGGTAGATATTTGTTTCTTAGGTCGTCAAATAAATAAATAAAGTTTCGTGCATTAACCCGTAAAAACTAGTTTTATTTAATGCAGGTAGATGTTATGACGTAGGCATCTGCTAAGAAAAGATTTTGATCAATTCTACCCTCAAGGGGATAAAATAGGGAATGAAAGTCTGTATGAAACTTTGTCAATTTTAAACCGATCGGGCTGAGACTTTGCATGCAGGTATAAGAAGAATCATAGATGAATGTCATTGTGTATAATACAAGACTGAGAACCAAAACTGTAGTCTACACTTCAGCTCACCACCGTCGCGAAGCGAGGGCGGGCCGCTAGTTGTGAATATAATTACAAAATAAATGTAACGAAAATTGCGAATGAAAGTTGAGCATACAGAATTTGAATTGCGGGGTGTTTTTGATCACGTGGGTCAAAGCTGCTTCTTCTGGTAAAAATGGAGCGACGTTCCGGCGCAGGCAGAACTTCTTAATCATGCGTTAACACTGATATATAAAGAAGTTTCCACTTCAAAGAATAATCGAACTTGCGATTGAGCTTCAGATCACTGGTTTCAACCTCAAGACCTCCTCTTCCCCCCGGACCTCGATAGCGAGTAGACGTCTCTCAAACCACATCGCGTATTTTTATATTTATTTACAAATTCATCCTACAAATTCATTAAAAATAATCAGTGTCAAAAATAGGAGTGCATAGGTAACGAGGAGCTTCTATTAATATCTGAACGTGACCGCCAACGGTGTGAGCAAGAGGCCGCGAGTACTACTTCACCACCACTTCTCAACCAGCAACGCCCGCGTTCTCAGCCCCGCCCATCACGACCAACACCAGTGCAGTTACAGCCCACGGGTACATCTTAGCGCCCCGCCTGTGCCACTACTGACCAACAACAAAGAAGAGGGGCCGAGCTTATTTGTATTATACATCGGTGAGTGCCTAAGCTTGCTCCGCTAAGTCTATGAGCTCCTGGTACCACGTATCTTATTAGCTTACTGTGATTCTTTGCAAAACTGAGCTTGCGTTTTTAATTATTATTGCTAGTGCACAGCGCTTATTGCTTATTGCTATTGCAATAGTACAAATAGTTCATACTTCTTACATAAAGATAAGTCTACGCTCACTCAGCCTTACGCACTCTGTCCTCATTCGGTTTATGTGTCCCTAGTTACAAGTAGACAAATAAAATGAGTACTCTGGATAAATCTATGTCGGACACAGAGATTAGTAAAATTACGCGGTCGGTCACTGTCACACCACCAAAAACTTCGAGTAATTTGACTGCTCGCTTGAAAAGAAAGAGGGGACATGATGTGACTGATGAACTAGAGAAGTTTAAAGACGAATTAAGGGACATGTTCAATAATATGATGAAAACGCATGAACAGGAGTTTAAAAGTAATGCCACGATTTTGAAGGAAATACAAAAAACAAACGTAAACATTGAAAATTCTATAGCATTTTTGTCCGCCCAAAACGAAGAATTTAAGAAGCAAATTGAGAGACTTGAGGGTGCTCGGAGGGAGGATAGGAAGTACATGACACTATTGGAGGAAAGATTAGAAAATTTACAACAAGACAGCCGCAAAGCCAATCTCGAAATAAAGAACGCACCTAAAAAAACAGATGAGACAAAAACGGACTTAATCGATATGGTACTTTGCTTGGGAAAAACAATTGGCTGTCAAGTAAGCAGTAGTGATATTAAAGATGTGTATAGAGTACGTGCCAAAAAGGACAGTATCGCGAATCCATCAATTGTCATAGAAACCACCTCAACTCTCCTAAAAAACGAAATTATAAAGAAATGTAAAGCATATAACTATAAAAGTAAGGCTAAATTATGTGCAAGGGATATAGGACTAAAGTTCTGTGAGAATAATCCAGTATTTATCAGTGAGCAGCTAACCGCTAAAGCTGCGCGTCTACATTTCCTGGCGCGTGACCTTGTGAAGTCAAAAGACTTTAAATACTGCTGGACTGCATACGGTAGAGTATACCTACGAAGAGAGGATAACTCCCAAATATATTTAATAAAAAATGAAGCACAAATACAAGAACTACTTTTAAAGAAGTGACTAGCATTTATGAATAGCAAATCATTTGAATATTGTCTAAGTCCAGTTTTTACAGAATGTTACGATATTTTAAATAGGCATAGTTGTAGTAATTTAGTGTTATATTCGCTTTGTTTCCGTTTTTGTAGTTTTTATCTTAATAATGTTTTATTTATAAGTAGTAATAACATTATCTCAAACATGTTTTTCACACTCTTGGTTGATGGTATCCACTTAAGTAACAATAGTATTAATTTTCATAATTTACCACAAAGAAAGCGCACAATGTTAACAAAATTATTTTTATTGGTATGTACACACTTGGCATACAATATAAATACACACACACACACACACATATGACTTCACTCTCTCAAACATACACCATAAGAATCAGGTTTTGCTGCCAGTTTATTATAAACATTATAATACTATATAGGTATGTACAATATATTTATAAAAGGCATACCACAATTAATTCCTTAAATAACAACTCATATCACCAATTCAATGATGCTAATAAAGTTCCCACAAATGATTGCATCCCTTGACGTATTACGTGACATAGATGAAACTTCAGTTGCGACTTCTGCGAGGTGTGGCGTTCAGAATCTCACTAATGTAATTAATATAAAAAAAACAGATCTAACGATAATCAGTCAAAACATAAGAAGCATATATAGCAACCTTGATGATTTTCTGGTAACATTGGCAGAACTTAATGTTAGTATTGATGTCTTTATTTTTACAGAGTGCAGACTTGACGATCGTAAGCCAATTCCACAACTACCAAACTACGTAGCTGTAGCTACTGTTAATAACCGAAACCAAAACGATGGTGTAGTTGCATATGTGAAGAATAGTTTATCTGCTGAAATTAAAGAAGTGATATTAGAGCAAGCATCTTGTATTCAGATAAATATCTTAAATTATGTCATCTTAGGCATTTACCGCTCTCCATCTCAACATAATGCCTCCAAATTTGTGAATTCCTTGAATTTGCATTTGCAACGGTTAAATTCATCTGCTAATATTGTGATAACTGGGGACATAAATATTAATCTCATACCTAAACCAAACGCGAACTCAGACGAACTTAATAATAGAACCAATTATCTAAACATGCTTTCTACACATGGTTTACTTCCGGGTCATACACTTCCAACTAGGGCAAACAGCTGCCTAGATCATGTCATCTTAAAAACAAATAAAAGGAAATTTGCTGCGAACGTTGTTGTGCTCGAAACATCAATTACAGATCATTCTACAATATTCATAAACTTAACTAAAATTAAGAATATCAAAGAATATCCGAAATCTATAGAAATTATTGATTATGGTAAAGTCTACAACAATATTCTACAAAGTAATTTAGAAACTCTGCTTACATGTAATGATCCCAATCTGGTATTAGAACGGTTAACTAGTAATCTCAAAAAAGCACTTAATGTGGCTAAGCACGTTAAGAAAATTCCTAAAAACCAGAGAAGTATAAAATCGTGGTACACGACTGGTGTGCTACGCTGCATTAGAAATAGAAACAAGATGCAACTTAAACTGAGAACTGACCCCCACAACGAGGTTCTGAGAGTCACATTCGCGAGATATCGTAACTTTTGCAATAAACTCATAAAAAAACTAAAACGAAAATATGAAGGGGACCTTTTAGCTAATGCTACTAAAGATAACAAAGCTTTGTGGAAAACAATAAAGACGGTAGCACATCTTAAAAACAGTAAAACCCATAATCAGGATTTGCTTCATATCAAGCCATCTCCTACGGAATCTGTTAATTACGTTAATAGCTTCTTTGCAAACGTCGGTAGAGACTTGGCAAATAATATAATCACACAAGATAATAGTAGACAGACTAGCGATGACCAAAATATTAAAACTAAGTTGACATCGCAAGGGTGCTCCTTTGTTCTCTTAGATACGGATCCTTCTGAGGTTGGCAGCGTAATCATGTCATTAAAAACAGATAGTGCCCCTGGCTGGGACAATATTCCGACCAGTCTGTTGAAAATTTGTGTGACCCAAGTAGCTCCCATCATAAGTCACATGGTTAATCTTATTTTCGAAACAGGTATTTTTCCAGATCATTTAAAAAAAAGCCTTGTTACACCGGTGTATAAAGGTGGTAAGAAAGACGATGTCAATAATTACAGGCCAATTTCAGTTCTTCCCTCCTTAGCAAAAATTGTTGAAAAGCTCATTAATTCACGTCTAATAAAGTATTTGAATAAAAACAATATACTATCCAGTTGTCAATTTGGTTTCAGACAAAAAACATCTACTGAGGATGCCATTGGATCTCTTACGTCTCTTATAACCAAACAGTTAGATACGGGGAAGAAATGTCTTACAGTATTCTTAGACCTAAAAAAAGCCTTTGACACCGTCTCCTTGCCGATACTGATACAAAAGCTTCAAGCTATAGGCATAAGAGGGCTTCAACTTGATCTTATGAAGAGCTACTTACAGGGGCGCACGCAAAGTGTTAAATTGGGTTATTGCTGTAGTGAGGAATGTGAGGTGACCTATGGTGTTCCGCAAGGAAGCGTATTAGGACCGACTCTCTTCCTTATCTATATTAACGACCTTACTAACATTGACGTGGAGGGTGCTAAGGTCTTCTCATATGCTGATGACACTGCTATTGTGTTCATTGATGACTCTTGGGATGCTGTTTTCGAGAGGGCTGAATCAGGGCTGGCTTTAATCTTTAAATGGCTTAATAATAATTTGTTAACACTTAACTTCAGTAAAACTAACTACATATGTTTCACCATAAATAAAAGAACACAGCCTAGTCAAAACCTCTTATTAAAAATTCATCACTCTTGCGATGCCATCTGCCGTTGTCTGCCTCTGGAAAGAGTCGTTTCTACTAAATACTTGGGATTAATAATGGACCAACATCTGTCATGGCACAGCCAGATCGAGTTTGTGACTGAGAGACTTAGAAAATTAACATGGGTATTCAAAACTCTACGTCATATAGCAACACGTCATCTTCTAAACAGAATATATGTCTCACTAGCTCAGTCTGTTTTGACATACTGCATCTCGATATGGGGAGGTGCTGCAAAGACTAAGTTTATAGAAGTAGAAAGAGGTCAACGGTGTTTGCTAAAAGTAATGTATTTTAAACCTTACAGATTTTTGACAAATGAACTTTATGAAATAGCCAATTTACCGACTGTGCGTCAACTTTATATATTGATTGCAATCTTAAAACGCCATAAATACTTGCCATATGAACCTAAGATAACTCAAAGAAGAAGAAAATGCATAAAAATCTCTCAGCATAACACAGCCTTTGCTGGGCGGCAATTTGATATACAGAGTTGTAAAATTTACAACGAAGTAAATAAAAAGCTAGGTATATCTAATCTAAATATGTATGATTGTAAAAAAAATGTACTTACTTGGTTAAAAACTAAGAACTACAATGATACTGAAAACTTGCTTCAAAACTTGTAATAATCAAACACACACACGCACACACACACATACACACACACATACACGCACACACACATACACACACACACACACACACACACACACACACACACACACACACACACAAACATAACAGATATATTGAACACTTTAGACTAAACATACACAAGGAAAAAAATCGTTATTTATTTGTAACCAATATGGTATTAAGTTTGGAAAAGTTATGGAAGAGCGAGAGTTCCTGACACAGGCAAATAAATTTGTCTACTAGGGATTCTCAAATATTGTATCACTAGCATAATATTGGTTATAGAAATAAAGTATTTTTGATTTTTTTTTTGATTTAAGACCGTATATCCTTTAGGCTAGGGGTCATCCATAAAGTACGTCGCACTTTAGAGGGGAGGCAGGGGGACAACGAAGTGTGACTTTGTGTGACAAGGGGTAGGAAATTCTTAAGTTTTTTCGTGACGTCAAATTAGCGGTTTGGATTGGCGGAGCTAAAATGACGTCACAAGCAAGTAAACTTCCGGTTAAAGTGACGACGAAGTACATTGTATCATTTGAAGTTTTAATAACAGTCGTGTGACGTCACACACTAGTAAGACGCCATATTGTCCATAGAAAGGTTTTCGCGGCAACTTGAAAATGGAGTTTTTGATTTGGTTATTTTTACTGAAATACACAACAGAATGATGAATATATCAATAACTTGAGATCGTTTTCTAAAACTCGACAAATACCCTATTTCTCGGGAAGCGTGCGGTAAAAAATGACATAAGTCCTGCGTCGAAGGTCGCTGGCGCCGTCCTGATCGGCGAGCAGTTGAGCACTAGTATATATTGCATTATACAGAAATCGGTTTAACGTGCGCCAAAAGATGTTTCACATCAAAAGTAAGCAGCACAAACATTAATCAAAATCAAAAAAAAATCAAAAATATATTTATTTGACCATTATGCTACCACGGCCCTATTAGCCGCGTCAAAATTTTCCTAGCCTTAAGATGCAAGGCAGCGCCATCACTTCGCATTGTAGGTAACCCACAATGTCAAATGAATACTTTTTCAAGTATTAAACATTTGAAAGAAGAAATAGCAATTATAGTTATGATTTTATTTATTTTTTAAACATTTAACTGCTAGATGTTTAAATCTAAAGAAAAGTTTACTAGAAGGTCCGCGTGGATTTTAAACATCTAACAGTTAAATGCATAAAAAATAAATAAAATCATAAATATATTTATTTTCCATCACAACAGAGATTCATAGTTAGTCGTGTATAGCAATTAGTGTTGTGGCTCCTCTATTTGTGATGAACTGGTGCCTGAAATAGGTTTCAGCAATAGAAACCTGTGCTACAGGTCATCAGGCCCAATCACAGATAGCAAGACTTCCACGGATGGTACCATACCTTGGACAGTTGAAATGTATATATATACAATGGTGTCGATTCTGGCAGGATTCTCTAAACTTAAAACTAAATATGACATGAGTCATCATCACTTTAAGTTGCGTTCATAAACTCGATTTAAAACTTTCGTTTACATAAAGGATGCATGTTCGTATGTGACCTAGTAATAGTGCATGATAATTCATAAATACTCCGGCGGTAATGCAAAGATTAGCGATTAATTGAAGAGCTAGATTCTGTATAATATTTTTTCTCACACAATCTTAAAAAATAAACTTGATGTTTTTTCTCGCTTAATCTTAGTAAATAAGTTTTATTAAATAAAAACTTTTTTATTCACTCTAGCCATTTGGTTTGAATTGACAGCTATGACATCACAATATGGCGCCTAGTCGGTCCTAATCTTAGTTGAATCGCATTATACCTTTGAAGAGTGTCGTATATTTCTTACACAAGCCAGAAGATTTAAATAACAGCATAGACTAATTTAACCTAAAAGAGTTAAAGTAAAATAGCTCTTAGTACCTTTGCAGAGAGTCGACTCTTTCTTGCAGCTCGTATTGCGAAGAGAGCAACTTCTGTCGGCTCTGCCTCTCGGCTTCCAACTCTTCGCATAGATTCTTCTTCTCCAGTTCATTCTGTTTGTCGCGTTCTGCGTAAGAAATGTGAGGTTTAAGATCTAATGTTAAGAATGTTATTACATAAATTAAGATTGGAATAGGCTATTTGACATGAAATGTATGTATGTGTAAGAAAATTAATGTACCAATTGTTGGCATCAGTATTTAATATGAATATCAGCAGCGATTTTACTATTCCGAAAGATCCTTTCTATGAAATCATTAAATAGAAATGATTATTTGCTCCATTGTCACGTGACCGAATACGCCTGGGATTGGCCGAGACTAAAATGACGACACACGCTAGTAAACTTTCGGCCACAGTGACATTACATTGTATCGTTTGGCGTTTTAATGACAGTCGTGTGGCGTCACACACTAGTGAGACGCCATAATGTCCAGAGAAACATTTTCGCGGCAACTTGAAAATTGAATTTTTAATTTAGTTTTTTTACTAAATTATACTACAGTATTAAAAATATCCACTTTTATGGATTCCATAAACTTTAGTAATTAACGTGGGATAGTTTTCTAAAACTTGTCAAATACCCTATTATTATCATTCTTTTACTACGTGAAGTATGAACTTCGTAACCATTTTTTTAACCATACCATAAATAAATTTAAAGATAATACTATCTTTAAATTTATTTATAGATAGTATTATTTAAATAAAGCACTTATTAAAAAATCTTATTACAAAGTGTCTGATTATATTACAGACAAAAATGCTTGGGTTTGAACTGTTCCAATCATTCCAACAGGTTTTCTATATTAAATAAATCATAATTGTATTGACATTGTAACAACATAATGATTTGTAAGTGTTGTTACATTAGACATTTAATGTTGTGGAGTTTTTTTCGCTCGTTTTTCTCCGCAGCTTATAAATATGTCCATAACGAGTGGGAGGGAAAAAAATTTTGGACGATTCAAAAGAGTTGTACTATAACATCCAATTTGAATAGAGAAAAAAAACAAAAGCACTTTTTGCTCATGAAAGAATGTGAGATCTGCATTATTTGTGTCCGAGCGATTTTCATGAATTTTGTTTTAGAAATAAAGGATATTTTGGATAACTGTTAGTTACGATCTATAGTTTCAAGACGATGAAAGCTTTTTATAGTGAAAGCAGATTTATACGCTTACAAAGTTCTGCTAGCCGTGCGTTCAAATACTTATGTCCTACCTCTTTTATTGCAGTATAAACAATGCTGCAAAGTCAATCATGTATGAATATCCATTGTAAATTAAATATGTCCTCATATTTGTGGTGGCGAAGAAAACGGTATCTAATATATAAAATTCTCGTGTCGCGGTGTTTGTGGTTAAACTCCTCCGAAACGGCTCGACCGATTTTCGTGAAATTTTATATGCATATTCAGTAGGTCTGAGAATCGGATGTAATCTATTTTTCATCCCCCTAAATGTTAAGGGCAATCCACCCGTAATCTTTTTTTTTCAAATTTTAGATATTTTTATTTATTTAATTTTTTATGATACAGCATTAGTAAATACATACAACCCCAAATTTTCACCCTTCTATCACCAACCCCTATTTTTTTATCGCGGTACGAAGTTCGCTGGGACAGCTAGTCTTTATATATATAATTCTTCTGTGAGTGTGTATGTCACTGAACTTCTCTTAAACGACTGGGCTGATTTAGATGAAATTTTTTTGTGTGTGTTCAAGGGGATCTGAGAATGGTTTAAATTCACAATTTTGTCCGCTGGACAATGTTTTTTTAATTAATTTTTAATTTATTAGTAGTTGTTGATTTTGGAATGTTTTACATTGGATCCGACAGACGGCGCTACCATACTAGACAGGACAACGTCTGTCGGGTCCGCTAGTCTTATATAAAATTCTCGTGTCACAATGTTAGTTACCATACTCCTCCAAAACGGCCTGACCGATTTTTATGAAATTTTATATGCATATTCAGTGGGTCTGAGAATCGGCTACTATCTATTTTTCATACCTTCAAGTGATAATGGTCCAGCCCTATATTTTTTTTTTATTATTTTTTGTGACATTTTTTTTATAATGTGGCACTAAAAAATACAAGCAACCCTAATTTTCATCCTTCTACTAACAGCCCCTATTTTTATGGTGGTACGAAGTTCGCTGGGTCAGCTAGTAATTATATAAAATTCAATTTTACAGGAGCTGTATAAAGCTGAATGACATAACTTCAGTGAGCTTTTGGCATGGATTTCAATTAATAAATTTAGTAATTTTAACACTGTTTTAGGCGGTTTTGATTGAACATTATTTGAGATTCAAATTCAACAGACCTGAAACCTCCGGACTCTAAAAAAAGTAGTTTGAGCAGATGCGTAATTATACCGTTTTGTTCGCCAGCTCCTCATTTATGATATTAAGTTATCAGTTATCGATACAGATTTATAATGAATATTACAGTTATAATAATGCCTAATGTTTCACTTTCGAATAATTGAATTGTGTGTGCGGAAAGAGAATGGGATTTAGATTGGAGGGCGCTGTAGTGCTTTTCTACCGTATTTGTAAGGTTTTACCCCTTTTAGACATGATTAAATACAAAAACCGCAAGAAATCACAACAACAAACAAATCCGTATCAATACAAAGCTGTGACGTTTTACAGATTGTTGGGTTTGATTGCCAAATAAAAATATTAATGTTGTTCCGTTTTTCGCCACGCCCATTCTCTTTACGCACAGACTCTACTAACAAACTCACTTTACTTTTAAAAAAATATTGATTTTGATTTGTTTTTAAGCCATAAACAAACCTCTCCAGAAGTTGGCTCTGGTCTCAAACTCCCTTGTCCATGGAACGAGTGAAGCGTGATACGAGATGGACGCATCTTTTGCTTCCTCTATCACTATTTCCGGCGGAACCACCATATTGGAATACCGACATCCGGTCAAATCACTCACTCAATTAAATAGTTCATTTTAAAACCATTTCTGTCTTTATCGTCTTAAAATTGTGTTAAGTGTTTGGCCATAATAAAACTGCACTTATATTTCTTTAGCAAATCCAAAAATCCACAACAGTAAAGGTGTTTAATAAACACCTGATTAAAGTCACATAATACAGCGCCTGCTACAAAACGAGTTATAATCAGAACGAAGCATCTAATAAGACAACTAAAACACTTTTTTTTATATATTAATATAATTATTGTTGTTCTATTTAAAAACTGGTTGCAATCACTTGAATCTAATTTATAATACTTAATTTACAACTGAATTATTTAAGAACCACTAAAGCTGATAATCCCGTGAGCTTGACCAAACTTAATACTTTCTCTGAATAGACAGCAAGCGAAACTCGACTTTAATGGTTATTCGATTCTGTTTACGTAGCTAACCTCACTTTCATGTTATCACGGTGTTAAGTAGTGAGTGTATCAAATCGTGAATATTATTGATTTACCGATAAAATTGGCGAACAATTATTCCGTTATCTACGCCCTACCATGTATCTAATCAATTAATTTTTATACTACTTTGATAATCCACATTATTAAAATGTATGTAGTTGTTTTAAACGCATTCTTTGACAACGTATGTCTAATGCATTACTTTAAGAACATATAAGTTCTTTTTCGTATTCCGTCCATATAAATAAACTGTTATTTAATAGTCACAATCCTCTAAGAGAAAAATGTGTTTGAAAAGAGAAATGAGTTTTTAAATAAAACTAGTTTTAACAGGTTAATGCACGAAACTTAATTTATTTATTGACGTTTCGCAGCCTTTTCAGGTCTGCATCATCAGAATTATGATTTTTTATTTAATTTTGTCGAGCTACCTTCGAAAGACTTTTATTGAGCGTTCGGTTATTTCATTGGAAGATTTTATTGTCTATGTATGAATTTATTAGTTAATTTAGTTAATAAAGTACTTTATTTAAAATTCTTTTTTGTAATTTAGAGTTTATTAATTTGACCCTAACTACCCTTTCGAACTGTACTCAAGTAAAAATTAACACTTAGTTGTCATTCTGTAATACGGGCCTAAAGGACACAGGGCAGCTTTTATCCTAGAATCATCCTATAAGAGAGTGAAAAAGGGGTGAGAGTTTATATGGAAAATAAATTAAGCTAATATCTCTGTTCATTGAATGACAAATGACATTTGAGTGACACGAACAAAACACCGCGTAACTAGTCTTAGCTTATTCCTTGTTTATTAAAAGGTGGTTTATCTATCTATCTATATATGTAAAACTCAAAGGTGACTGACTGACATAATGATCTATCAACGCACAGCCCAAACCACTGGACGGATCGGGCTGAAATTTGGCATGCAGGTAGATGTTATGACGTAGGCATCCGCTAAGAAAGGATTTTGATCAATTCTACCCCCAAGGGGATAAAATAATGAATGAAAGTTTGTATGAAACTTTGTCAATTTTAAACCGATCGGGCTGAGACTTTGCATGCAGGTATAAGAAGAATCATAGATGAATGTCATTGTGTATAATACAAGCCTGAGAACAAAAACTGTAGGCTACACTTCAGCTCTACACCGAAGAGAAGCGAGGGCGGGCCGCTAGTATATAATATAAGGCTAAAACTTACCTTCAATAGCCATCTCATAATGTTCTTTATTACTTCTCAATTCGTCTTCCAACTTCTTGCTCTCCGCTTGCCACTCTTCTCTCTCCTTCTTATAAGCTTGTTCGATCTCTTTCTTCTCTTCTATTAACCGTTTATTGCTATCTCTCTCGCTCGTAAGCTCAGCTTGTAAAGCGGCTATAAGGCTGTCCTTGTCGTTGTTGCCTGCTCTCAATGATTTCGCTTCGATTTCTACTAATTTGAGTAGTTCTAGTTTAGCTCTGTTTATAGAAAAAAAATTAAACAGATTAATAAATATAAACAAAATATTTCCAACATTCGAGGAGCTCGATGGCGCAGGTGGTTAGCGCGTTCGGCTGCGATGGTTGAAGTTAAGCAACTTTCGCAGTGGTCGGTCATTGGATGGGTGACCAAAAACTTCTATCTGGAGTTCCTCCATGCTTCGGAAGGCACGTTAAGCTGCGTGCCTTCCGAAGCACGGAGGCCCCCGCGTGGTGGGTGGGGAAGGCCTGTGCCCCAGCAGTTGGGACATTTATAGGCTGATGATGATAATTTCCAACACTCACACCAATTAGCCTAGCCCCAAAGTAAGCACAGTAAGCTTGTGTTTTGGGATGCTAGGATAACGGATGGAATACATTTACTGATACATATATAAGTATATTTTTATAGAAATACATAAACATGAACATGACTGGAGTACAAATGCTTGTATTCATCACACAAACATTTGCCCCCATCGGGATTAGAACCCGGGACCGCTCGAATAGACGACGCATTGAAACCCGGTGTACAAACAGCTCGGCCGCGGAGGTCGTCCCTGTATAAAACATATGGTATTATGTTATGTTATCTTCAATTATTAATTTCTTCATCTTTATGCCTAAAGGTTGACTGGCAGAGAATGCTTTTAGAGTCGATTCCGCCTTTTGTCCATTTTTGTAATTGTGACAGTAAAGTTTAAATAAATAAATCTTTCATTGTACAGATGTACCCTAAATAGTCTTATAGTCCTAAATAAAGTGAATAAGCAAGTATCTCCCCTCCCTCTCTTACTGACTGTTTATAAATAGCTCCATCTAGAGACTGGACGTAACGACGCACGAACAAAAAACATACTTCATCTGGCAGCAATCTCTCACCTTAGACGCAGCTATCACCGGAAGGGACGAGATGCCGCTGTATATCTATGTAAAAGCGGACAGACGGACAGCGGAGCACTCTCTTTTAGCCAGGAGGAAGTCCTCAACTTCAACTCTTCTAATATTAGATGTATACAGGGTTGTTACAAAAATACAAATAAAGCTTGAAGGGCGTTGAAGTACATCATATAAGGAGACTTCTCTAATATTCTTAAAATATTTGCATGAAGTGACGTGTCTTAAAATTATCGATATTTTTATAAATCATTAAAAATAACTGTTTTTATAAAAAGGTAAAACTTCATGTAAATATTTTAAGAAAATTAGAGAAGACTCCTTATATCATGTACTTCAACGCCCTTCAAGCTTTATTTGTATTTTTGTAACACCTGTATAATGTATACAAATAATGTAACGGAAGTTGAAAAAACACATTTATTTATTTTAATGGAGAAGTCGCTTTATTACCTTCAACGAACAAATATACACTTACCTTAGCTCGACGATTTGCTGTTGTAAAGGATCTATAGCCTTCGCTCTTTCCAGGGCAGTTCCTAGCTTCTGCTGTAGACTTATGATCTTGTTCTCCAAACCCTTATGACAATGATTGAAGGGAAGATTTTAAAATACTATCAATCTTTAGCTAACAAGAAAACACTACTATGTCAAGATTTGTAGAAATATATTATATCAATCTTTAGCTAACAATAAAATATCCTTGTGTCCTTATTTATGGTAGTTTTTGAAGTTATACTTATTTAGGCGCGTTATGAAAAAATGATGAGAGTGAAATTTTAAGATGCGCGCGCATCACTGTAACACAAAATATACTTTTGTGTTTACCGCACATTAAGAAAATCTACCAACAAAATAGAAATAGAATCTCTATTTAGTGGGTGCTAACGACTGCATTGTGAAGGCCTATCAAAAGTATTTATTAATCTGGAACAACGGAACCAAAGCGCGATTCAGGAGACTACAGCGCCATCTCTTGACCATTGGTGTAGTAGAACCAAAAACCACATCTTTATTTTTTGTAATAAAGTAACAGTTATAGGTATTCATATTTATAATATTTATCCACATGTTTCTAGTTTGTATATTCGGAATACGTGTTTGAGTTTCATACAAGTGCAAATCACATATGTTCTAATAAATTATATTCAGTAGCGATTTAATTGAATATTTTGATTATTTATTTATTTTTTCAAATTAAAACTGAACTTTATTGACTGTGTCCTTTTCCAGACTTTTTATTAATTTGTTGTAATTAATTATTTGCATGCAATTAAAAACTAATTTTAAACGATGCCAAAGAAGGATAACTTCTCACGCGCCTACATAAGTACACGCACCCATTTTTTTTTTCGCTGCAAACTTAAAGATCTATTTTGACTCGCCAACAATTTAAAGTATCTCTTGTAGCCTGACAGCTTCAAACAAGCTTAAAACGTTTCTATCTTTCAGAGATTTGATTTCCTCTGGGCGTATTATATGTAGTCCCAGATGAATACTATGTTTGTGGATAATCAGCCCATATTTACATAAATAAATAAAAAAATCCAACACTCACACCAATTAGCCTAGCCCCAAAGTAAGCACTATAAGGCTTGTGTTATAGGATGCTAGGGTAACGGATATAATACATATAATGTACATATATAAGTATATTTATATAGAAATACATATCAGACAACCATGACTGAAGTACAAATGCTCGTATTCATCACACAAACATCTGCCCCCACCGGGATTCGAACCCGGGACTCCTCGAGTCGGCGACACCATGAAACCCGGCGTACAAACCACTCGGCCACGGAGATCGTCAACATAGAATATCGAAAAGTGTTTTGGTGTTTCGCGTTCCTGTTTGGAATAATAGATTCATTTCTGTTTGCAATAATAGTTCATGAAGCAAGATTTTTGGCCGAAAGGTGTTGCGTTCCGGCGGTTCCGAGGCCGGATACCTGACACCACTCCGCGTCAAACGTCGCCGTCTGTACTTGTAAAGTAGGTTTCTACTAACATAGTTATTATTATTTTTTATAGCACAGTGTGACCTAAACCCGCACTTTACGCACGCTTTTCCGTGACCTAAGTTGCCTATTTCTGCACGGTGTGTAAATGAATTGACCAACTTCACTCATGTACAAAAAATAAAAGGAAACACATTTAAATGTCATTTGGAGCTTAAAAACTCACAGCAAACAAATGACAAATTAGCGATAGGTTAGGTTATTCTGTTGTAATGATATTTGATTTTTTCCTTTTGAAATATACTTTCGAAATGGTAATCTGAACCGGAATTCTTTCTTTTCAGAGTTTGACTTGCAGTCTGTATTGCAATTCTTTTTGATTGCAATACATGAATTTTACTTTCAAAACACTAATCGCATCCCTCTTGCCCGCGTCCGGGGTGGGTTTATGTCACACTTGCTATAAAATAGTATACGATACTTGTGGCCTAAGTTGTCTATTACTGCACGGCGTTTAGCACGCGCGCTAACTTCACGCCGTGCAGTAATAGGCAACTTAGGTCACGCGTATCGTAATGTACTATTATTTATTAACATTTAATGTATTACCTATATCTGGATTTATGTTAGACTATTTATCTATGGGCCTACGTTGCCTGATTATTACACAAATAAATAAATTAAAAAAAATGAAATACTTACCTTATTAAGTGACTTGACGTGATCGAGGCTTCTTGCTTCTATGCGCAAGCGCTTGTACTGTCGACGCGCAAGGAAACGTCTCACCTTAAGGTAAACAAGTTCATTAACACTTGAAGGAAATATAGAAATAGCAGCTGTGCCCCGCACCGCGGCGTTACCCACGGTTTATTTGGGATAATTTCCCGCAGTAAAACGTAGCCCATGTATTAATCCAGGGTGTCAGCTAACTCCATACCAAATTTTAATAAAATCGCTCCAGCCGTTTAGACGTGAAGAAGTAACAAACATACACACTCACACACTCACAAACTTTCGCCTTTATAATATTAATGTGATAAAAATAGGGTATTTGACATGTTTTAGAGAACGATCTCACGTTATTTGCTAATGTCTGTGCAGTCCATAAAAAGATTTGATATTCATGAATCTGTTGAGTATTTCAGTAAAAAAAACTACAAATCAAATATGCAATTTTCAAGTTGCCGCGAAAACTCTCTCTTTAGACCAGGGGTGGCCGAATTGATCAGACCCAAGATCTACTGTATACTATCGAAACCCTTGGCGATCTACCAATTACATACTTTTTAAAATCTCAAGTGAAACAGCAAAATATGCTGAACGCAGTTGTTCAACACATCTTTTGAAATTTGGATATACAGGCAGTCCTCGACTTACGTCGTTTCGATTTACGTCGTTTCAAGTTACGTCAAACAATGTTTTGACACTATTCCTTAAGCATACGTCATTGTTTCGATTTCCGGCATAGAAGAATTCACTTGTCGCAGGTTAATGTCCGTGGGGCCGGCGTCCATGGGGATGTCTCGACTTACGTCGTTTCGATTTACGTCGCGTATTTCGAGAACCTAACATTGCCGTAAGTACGAGGACTGCCTGTATCTCGTTGGAAACCAATGCCCAGAAATCTAGACCTGAGAATGATTTTGCTTATAGCCTTCGCAGCCAAAGTCGCGTCACCCGCTAGTTACGAAATATTATTGTAGAGCAAAATTGGTACTTACAGCAGATTGCGCTATAACGATTCGCCGTCTCATCTGATTGGCCCTCTGGCGAGCGAGATAGCCGCGTGCGTACCTCTGTATTTCCATTACCTAAAAACAATAGTTATATTATGATATTAGTGCGATAAGTCGGATATCACAAACGAGTAGACGAATGTGCGGTAAAAAGTTTTACCGCACGCTCCGTTGTATGGCCGTAGTTTTAAACTATCAAATAATGTATACAGAGGATGCGAATTCACATAAAATACTTTTACCGTTAGAGGCACTATTTGACACACTATTTATATACAGGGTGGTCCAACTAGTGACGTCCAACTAGTGACGTCCAACTAGTGACGTCAGCAATTTTTTTTTAGGTTCCTCGCACCTGGTGGTATCCGAAAATACCCCATGTATGTTCCGCGATTTTTCTTTTATAAAAAACGAAGTTTTAACTTTTTATAAAAAAAGTTATTTTTAATGATTCTCGAACTGATGATTCAGAATTGATCATTAAAAATCACTGTTTTTATAAAAATTTAAAACTTCATGCAAATATTTTAAGAAAATTATAGAAGACTCCTTATATGATGTAATTTAACCCCCTTCAAGCTTTATTTATATTTTTGTAACAACCTGTATATATATATATATATAATCATGATCATTGAGCCAAGCTTAAGATTGGCTAGAGGAATTTCGACACGGCCATCAGGGCTGCGGTAGCATAACTGGTCAGTGCATTCGCTCGGATTGCGAACGGTGCGGGTTTGAGTCCCGTCTGCTGCCTGGTCCGCGTGGAATTTTTTCTAGTTATATTTTCTTTAGATTTAAACATCAAGCAGTTAAATGCTTTAAAATAATAAAAATTATAATTCTTATCGTTTTTCGTAGTAGGTATTTTGCAGTCTTTTTTTTATGAAATAATTGTCTTGAATGTTGTTTTAATAAAAAATAGCTCAACTTCCTGCAAATACTTAAAGTTACTCAAAAAAGGCTTGAAAGTTGGAACTTTAGTTTTTTTAGTAGGATTTACTCAAACATTCATCTTCAATTTAGAAGTACAAAAAGGAGTTTCCATAGGTTCTCGCTAAAATTAAAAACTCCGCATGCTTCTAAACTACCAAAAATCATAAAAAAAATGTACTTAATCAGCCTATTTTTGTTGTCGAAATTGGCTTTTGAAGGCGGATAGGCTAAAAATCATTGAAACATGATTAAAGCAATAAAAAAAAAATTATCTACTTTTTATCATTGTTATGGTAAATTTAACTTAAAAATGTAATTTCAAATTAAAATTAATTGAAATTCCTGTAAAATAACTTTAACATGTGTAATTTTACAATAATTTCGGTTTCACTCTTACATTTTTTTATTTTTACACTAATTTGGCACTATTTACGCAGTATTTAATGGCATAAGAAAAAACCGTTTATTGACCGTGTGTACGCTAGCATCACGGACACAACTTTTCATCTATTAATTATTTTTCTAAAAAAAAATGTAATGAAAATTTTACTAGAAAAAAATCCACGCGGACCAGGCAGCAGACGGGACTCGAACCCGCACCCTTCGCTTCGCCGAGCGAATGCACTGACCATTATGCTACCGCGGCTCTGACGACCGTTTCGAATTTTGTCTAGCCTTTCTTAAGCTGCAAGGCAGCGCCATATCTTCGCATTGTAGGTAACCCACATTTTTTTAAATATTCTAGTAAAATGTTCTTTACATTTAAACATCTAGCAGTTAACAGAAAAAAAATGGAGCGCTGATAAAAATATTAATCGTGTAAATCAAGACATTAAAACTATAATCCGTATAGACGGACTAAGCCAAAGGCTTGGATTCATTTTTGTTCCTACATGGTAATGGCCATAAAAATCGCATGGTAATTTACACCAAACTGAGGAGCTCGATGGCGCAAGAGGTTAGCGCGTTTGGTTGCGATCGTTGAAGTTAAGCAACTTTCGCAGTGGTCGGTCATTGGATGGGTGACCAAAAATTACTATCTCGAGCTCCTCCGTGCTTCGGAAGGCACGTTAAGCTGTTGGTCCCGGCTGCATCTGCAGTCGTTAGCACCCACCAATCCGCACTGCGCCCGCGTGGTGGGTCATGGCCCAATCTCCCTATTCCATCCATAGGGAAGGCCTGTGCCCCAGCAGTGGGAACATTAATAGGCTGATGATGATGATGAATCACAAAACTTACCGCTCTAACCATCCTCTTGTCTCTATACAGCCTTCTAGCCATATATCCTCTGGCTACAGCCTGCAATCCTATCGCCAATCGCCTCAATCTCTGATACTTCAGTCTGGCCAGCCAACCGCGAATGTTTCGCTGCAGTTTGATAGCTGCACGATTGCGACGGATTTCCTGTGCTTTCCTGTTGGAAACGGAAATAACAACTTTATTACTATACTGACGGCCCGCCTTCGCTTCGCCTCGGCGAAGACTATAGTTTTTAAAGAATATATTACTAGACTAAAATCGACGCGGGCCAGGCAGCAGACGGGACTCGAACCCACACCCTTCGCTATCCGGAATGCACTGACCAATTATGCTACCGCAGCCCTGATGGCCGTGTCGAATTCTTACTAGCTTTTCTTAAGATGCAAGGCAGCGCCAACTCTTCGCATTGTAGGTAACCTACAATGTCAAATGAATACTTTTACAAGTATGAAACATTTGAAAGAAGATACTATAGCGACTACAGTTTTTGTTCGAATATATAGAACTAGCAAAACAGTCCATGTTTCAGACTCCAAAAATCAAGAGGGTCATTTCTGGGTTGTAGTATTGCATTGTTTAACAAAGTTCCCCAAGATCTGATTGAGCTTCCACTGACTAAATTTAAATCTCAGATCAAAAATACTCTTATGAATAAGGGCTATTATAAAGTTGATGATTATCTAAATGATCGTAATGCATGGACATAGTGTTTCTTATAATTTGATATTAAATGGGTATTACTCATTTTTCATAACAGTAATATTGTACCTATCTAATGCCGCTTCCTATATACTACTTAAAATGTTAACTATAAAATTAATTGTAACTATTTATATTCTAGATGATGTAATGGAAAGTGACTTCAGACGTATTTCTGAAGTAATTTTTCAAATTGACGACACTGTATATAACAATACAGGGAGAAAAAAACAGCCCTTGCTGAGTTTCTTGCCGGTTCTTCTCAGTACAAGGTCTCCCGCCGTAGTTTTGCGAACCGATGGCGTAGCTTCTTGACCTTCACAAGTGCTTGTAACAGCCTAGACTGAATAAATGACATTTCATTTCATTTCATTTCATTTCAGTGAACCAAATATTCACCAAAAACTGATTTAAAAAAAATGTTTTTAATTAATTGAGAACTTCGGAGATTTTGTGTGGTTTCGTTTGAAATTCGTGATTTCTCGAAAACCGGAAGTGCTACGTTACTCAAATCCGGTTTGTAGTCTTATCAGACTATTCTTAACTTATAACTTAAATATTCTCTTTATCTATCTCTTACGGTTTGGCCGCTGAAACAGCACCACAGACAGACGGACGGACGGACGGACTTGTCTAATAGATAAGAGATATGATACTCAAAAGTAACTTGGCTTTGTATTGCTAAAATGTTTTTTAAAAAACGGTAGCGTAGATCCAGAGGTTATACAACTACTACGTCACAATTCACAAATTTTACAACAAACAATAAAGCTCATTTTCCCTTACCTTCTGGCCAGGAAACCTCTAGCCCTCGCTTGCAATCCCTTTTAAAGGCCTAGTGAATCTCAAATACTTCAGCCTCGCAACGAATTTTACAAACATTTTCCAGTTTATTTATACACTTTAATACCTTCTAAATAAAGCTCATTTTCCCTTACCTTCTGGCCAGGAATCCTCTAGCCCTCGCCTGCAATCCTCTTAAAGCTCTAGTGAGTCTCAAATACTTCTGTCTCACAACGAATCTTACAAACATTTTCCAGTTTAATCATAGACTTTAATACCTTTTCAATAAAGCTCTTTATCCCTTACATTCTGGCCAGGAATCCTCTAGCCCTCGCTTGCAATCCTCTTAAAGCTCTAGTGAGTCTCAAATACTTCTGCCTCGCAACGACTTTTACAAAAACATTTTCCAGTTTAATTATAGACTTTAAAACCTTTTAAATAAAGCTCATTTTCCCTTACCTTCTGGCCAGGAATCCTCTAGCCCTTGCTTGCAATCCTCTTAAAGCTCTAGTGAGTCTCAAATACTTCTGTCTTGCGACGAATCGACGCACGCAACTTTGGACCCTAACGCAGTACAAACGTTGTATGTCCGCGCGTATTTTCTCTAAATACGCCACCTGATAAAGAAATTTTATATTTAGCTATATTTATAATTATTTTCTAGCAAAAGTTTTAAGCAATAATATAAGTTTGTTTCAAGATTTTTTTATTAAAATTGGGCTGGGCCTGATTCTAGCAGAATTCTCTTAACTTGACATTCTTTAGGGAGTATGATAACAATGTTGTCAAATGAGACAACAAAAAGACAAACTTGAGCACAAAATGAAACAAGTTGAAATTTGTATTGATTAAAACGATTTTTTTAATTAGACCATCAATCACTACTAATTGTGTAAGTTTTGCCAATCTGAGATCAGAGCTATCAGGGTTTAAAATCCATTCATACTAAGATTATAAATGCGAAACTGTGACGATATGTCTGTCTATTACCTCTTCACGGTTAAACCGCTGAATCGATGCAGATGAAATTTGGTATATAGATAGTTTGAGTCAACGAGAAAGATATAGGATAGATTTATACCAGAAATCATCCTCTTAGGGGATGATTAGGATGGTGCAAGTTTTATATGACAAAACCCATTTTCCTAATTTTTATTATTTTTAAAGCATGAAACTGCTTGATGTTTAAATCTAAAGAAAATATAACTAGAAAAAAATCCACGCGGACCAGGCAGCAGACGGGACTCGAACCCGCACCCTTCGCAATCCGGGCGAATGCACTGACCAATTATGCTACCGCGGCCCTCACGTAATATACGTAGTAGCATAATTGGTCAGTGCATTCGCCCGGATTGCGAAGGGTGCGGGTTCGAGTCCCGTCTACTGCCTGGTCCGCGTGGAATTTTTTCTAGTTATATTTTCTTTAAAACCCATTTTTCTATGCACATGAAGTCATCACACTAATATTTTAAAGGCGAAAGTTTGTGAGTGTATATGGTTGTTACTTCTTCACGTCTAAACGGCTGGAACGATTTTAATAGTATTTGGTATAGAGTGAGCTGACACCCTGGATTAAAACACATAGGCTACATTTTACTGCGGGAAAACATCCCTAATAAAATGCGGGTAACACCGCGGGGCACAGCTAGTAAGTAATAAATAAATATGTATTTATACTGACCTGTCCAGCCCTAAAGAATATTTTCGTCTTGCCGAACTGGTATTTATCTGGATCTTTCAGATGTTTGGCGAGGATTCGGCCGCAGGTTCCCTTGATGTCGCCGCGGTCGATCTCCTTGTGGAGACAGAGAAGGCGATATCTGAGGGACAAGTAGAGAGAAAGAGATAGAAAATGGATAATAACAATAATAAATGAAAAAATAATGATATTTATGTCTTTGTGGAGACAGAAGACGATATATGTGGGACAAGAAGAGAGAAAGAGATAGAAAATGAATGATAATAATAATAAATGAACAAATTAATGAGATTTATGTCCTTGTGGAGACAGCAGGCGATATATGTGGGACAAGTAGAGAGAAAGAGATAGAAAATGAATGATAATAATAATAAATGAACAAATTAATGAGATTTATGTCCTTGTGGAGACAGAGAAGGCGATATCTGAGGGACAAGTAGAGAGAAAGAGATAGGAAATGGATAATAACAATAAATGAAAAAACAATGATATTTATGTCCTTGTGGAGACAGAGAAGGCGATATCTGTGGGACAAGTAGAGAGAAAGAGATAAAAAATGGATGATAATAATAATAAATGAACAAATTATTGAGATTTATGTCCTTGTGGAGACAGCAGGCGATATATGTGGGACAAGTAGAGAGAAAGAGATAGAAAATGAATGATAATAATAATAAATGAACAAATTAATGAGATTTATGTCCTTGTGGAGACAGAGAAGGCGATATCTGTGGGACAAGTAGAGAGAAAGAGATAGAAAATGGATAATAACAATAATAAATGAAAAAAATAGTGATATTTATGTCCTTGTGGAGAGAGAGAAGGCGATACATGTGAGACAAGTAGAGAGAAAGAAATAGAAAATGAATGATAATAATAATAAATGAACAAATTAATGAGATTTACGTCCTTGTGGAGACAGAAGGCGATATATGTGGGACAAGAAGAGAGAAAGAGATAGAAAATGGATAATAACAATAATAAATGATAAAAATTATGATATTTATGTCCTTGTGGAGACAGAGAAGGCGAATATCTGTGGGACAAGTAGAGAGAAAGAGATAGAAAATGGATGATAATAATTAATGAGATTTATGCCACTTACCTATGGAAGAAGTCTTGGTAGAGCCACCTGGAGGGAAAACCTGCGGCTGATATCCTTATTGTTTCTAATACACCACAAGCTCTGAAACAAAATATAATTTTTATTTATGATATTATTGCGGTAAGTTGGTTATTACAAACGAGTAGACAAATGTTAACATAGTAACGAGTTTGTAAACACCAATTCCGCACAAATGTCATACAATGTTGACGACCTCCGTGTCCGAGTGGTTTGTACGCCGGGTTTCATGGTGTCGCCGACTCGAGAGGTCCCGGGTTCGAATCCCGGTGGGGGCAGATGTTTGTGTGATGAATACGAGCATTTCTACTCCAGTCATGGATGTTTAATATGTATTTCTATATAAATAACTTATATATGTACCGTATATGTATTCTATCCGTTACCCTAGTATCCCATAACACAAGCCTTACTGTGCTTACTTTGGGGCTAGGCTAATTGGTGTGAGTGTTGAAAATATTTATTATTATTATTATTATCTCCATGATTTCATTAAAATACATACAAAATTATATTTCTAAATATTAAATTTTTACAATGTATAACATTTAAAAATACAATAATGCAGTTCCCCATCGGCAGCAAAATCAGGGTCCCTGCTACCGGTGGTTAAGGATCCAGAGACAGGAACCTCCTCACTATACGGGCCGTGTCCAGAAGTACTGCCTTCTGCATCTGACTCTTGACCCAACCACCTAACGCGAGCCTCTTAAGGTGTTTATCGAGGCTCTTGGCTATCAAACCATGGGCAGATATGATTATCGGCACAACAATTGCTGAATCGATGTCCCACATGTCAACAATCTCGCGAGCTAAATCAAGATATTTGTTATTATTATTATTATTAATGTTTTTGGGGACAGGGAATGAAAAGGAGACAATGTTATCAAGTTTACAAATATCAAACATGAATAACCTTGTGGAGCCGACAGAATCATCATCATCATCATGAGCCTCTTTATGTCCCCACTGCTGGGGCACAGGCCTTCCCTATGGATGGAAATGGACTGGGCCATACTATTTACATATACTAAGGAGCTCGATGGCGCAAGTGGTTGGCACGTTCGGCTGCGATCGTTGAACTTAAGCAACTTTCGCAGTGGTCGGTCATTGGATGGGTGACCAAAAATTACTGTCTCAAGCTCCTCCGTGCTTCGGAAGGCACGTTAAGCCGTTGGTCCCGGCTGCATCTGCGGTCGTTAGCACCCACCAATCCGCACTGGGCCCGCGTGGTGGGTCATGGCCCAATCTCCCTATTCCATCCACCGGGAAGGCCTGTGCCCCAGCAGTGAGGACATTAATAGGCTGATGATGATGATACTAAAAGTATAAATAGGAAATATTTGTATTTTTGTATTTCATTGTAACCCCCTAATCATCCCCTAAGAGGATGATTTCTGCGATAAATCAATCCTAGATCCTTCTCGGGGACTCAAACTATCTATATACAAAATTTCATCTACATTGATTCCGCGGTTTAACCGTGAAGAGGTTATAGACAGACATATAGTCATAGCTTCGCATTTATAATCTTAGTAAGTTGGTTATTACAAATGAGTAGATGAATGTTACCATAGTAACAAGTTTGTAAACACCAATTCTGCACAAATGTCATACAATGTTTTTCAACACATTTGCGAGAAATCAGGATACATAATTTAAGTAATGAAGCCAACTTTTTCTTTGAAGAAAATGGCACTCATTTCCAAATGGCGCCACGTGCGGGTGGTAAAAATTGGAACTACATCTTTCGTCTCTTTTTCTTTTTAGTATTGAAGTGAGACAAAGGTATAGATTAAAAGGACCTCCAAGGAGGTTCGATCGAAATAAAAAAAAACGTTAAAGAAAACGCACGGTATAGTATGTATGGGACCATACGTTGTATGGTCCGTAATTTTGAACTTTCGAACAATGTATACAACCTATGTGTAACAGTGCCGAGGTACACACTCAAATAAAATGCGCAAATCCAGATGTATATTGAAAATATGTGGAAATTATTTAACACAAGGTGACGTGAGGTATTTTTGTGTTCGTAAGGACTCAAAATGTTTTGGGCTGATATAAAAAAATAATTCCCCGTTAGAAAGTTAAAAACATTATTCCTGAGTTACCTAAGCTATAGCGTTAAAATAAAGTTTCGCAGGTGCAAAGTCGAGACGGATCATCATCAGCCTATTAATGTCCCCACTGCTGGGGCACAGGCCCGGTGGGGGCAGATGTTTGTGTGATGAATACGAGCATTTGTACTCCAGTCATGGATGTTTAATATGTATTTCTATATAAATATACTTATATATGTACAGTATATGTATTCTGTCCGTTACCCTAGCATCCCATAACACAAGCCTTACAGTGCTTACTTTGGGGGTAGGCTAATTGGTGTGAGTGTTGGAAATATTTATTTATTTATTATTATTTATCACTTTGTCATCGTTGTAACTTTTTAAATATTTGTCGAAATGACATTGTGTAAAAAGCAAAGTTTATAGTCTTTAAATATCAAAAGCGATAAAAGTATTTGTTTTGATAAAAAATGATTTGTTAATACAAAATGTTCATTTTGGAAATAGATATCAAATAATATTTAAGTTTTGATTCACTATTTTAGCGGTAATGACTTAGACACTAAAAATAGATATATGGTGTCACGGACTTTTTTTAGGAACTATTTAAGAGATACATTTTCACTCTACATTACATTCATGTAACTTTTATTGTTTTTGCAGTGCAGGCCAAAATGGCTCGCAGATGGGAGATTTTCCGTCTTATGTGACACTGTGTCGTACGCCCGGTTTCTGGGGGGTGGAAAACTCGTCACCCTAGCCAAAACCAAATACCGGGGTAAACACCTACGTCCGCGATACGCGGAGCTAGAATCGCACGTTAGAAATACCTAATCCTATTAACAATACAAAAAAACTCACTTAGCAAGTGCCCCATACAGCACCTGAGCAGCAGCGAGGGGAGGAGCGCTCCCCCGAGGTCGAAACTGATCAAAGCCCGTCAATAGGCCCTGAATCTCCAAGGAACACTTGCTCACAAAACACAGTGGAACACACAAACATCTACTCATATACAGGGGGCCCTATCTAGGCTGCCAAGACACCTGAGTAGGTATTCATTTAATTAGGCAAAAAAACGACGCGAGCCGGGAGCACCTTACTCGTGCGCAGATCGACCGACCACTCGATACGCGTGTTGCTATGCGACTACTTAATCAATCGGGAGGGAATCTGGCGTGTGCCCTTAGATTTCCGAACATCCCCCCGTCCCGGACCGTTACGAACGGTACGTTAATCCACGGGTAAACGAGAGAGGCTCGTAACCGCTCTCTTGAGAACCGAATCTCCAACCAAGACCTCAGCAAAGCGGGGAATGCCATCTGCACCGCAAATCAATTTAACAATTCTACCTCGACGCCAGAACAGAGGCGGAAGGTTGGTATCCTTCACCAAAACGAGGTCCCCGTTCTTGGGTGGAGTGGTCTTATCAGTCCACTTAACGCGCTGCTGCAAGATGTGCAAGTACTCGAGCGACCAGCGTGCCCAAAAACTTTGTGATAACTGTTGCAATAGCTGGAATCGCGACAATCGATTGCACCTCACATCTTTCAGCGGATATTCTGGCAACGCGTTAAGAGGCTGCCCTATCAAAAAATGGCCTGGAGTTAACGCCTCCAGGTCATTTGGGTCGGAGGACAGTGGGCACAAGGGTCGCGAATTGAGGACGGCCTCAATTTTACAGAACACCGTGTCAAGCTCTTCAAAAGTAAGGACGGTTTCGCCAATAACGCGACGCAGGTGAGTCTTGGCCGCCTTCACACATGCCTCAAATATTCCACCCCAGTGCGGACAAGCTGGAGGACTGAACTTCCAGATTATCCCACGTTTAGAGAGGGTGGTTCCAATGTCTACCTGGTTATCAATTAAAAATTTGCAAATATCTTTCAAATAATTATTCGCACCCTGATAATTGGTGCCACAATCGGAACGAATTAATGTCGGCAGTCCCCTACGGGATACAAATCTGCTAAGCGTAGCTATGAAATCTTCCGTCGACAATTCCGAAACTAATTCCAAATGTACAGCCTTGGTGGATAGACAGACGAAGACACACAAATACGCTTTATAGCACTTGGCATTTCTTAGTTGCGATGTCTTTACTCGGAAAGGACCAGCAAAATCAGTGCCAACTCCGGCAAAGGGTCTGCTCTCCGTAACCCGATCCACAGGCAGATCTCCCATGTGGGGTTGCATAGTAGTGGCTCTCAACCTATAGCACGGCATACAACGGAACACAACGCTGCGAATAGTCCTCCTAGCGGATAAAATCCAAAACTCACGCTGGAGGATAGCTAACAACGCATTGATACCGGCGTGTGAATTTTTAACATGACGATCTGTCACCAACAATTGTATCAAATGTCCATCTTTAGGGAGCAACAGGGGATGGCGAGCTCCAAAAGATAAGCTAGCATTCCTAAGCCTGCCCCCTACTCTGACGAGGCCATCTTCATCTAAGAAGGGATTCAACCGTGAGATAGCACCTTTCAATTTACAACTACCTTTACGCAAGGTGGCTATCTCTTCTTTGAAGGCATCACCTTGTACAACATGAACCCAATACAACAATGCCTCTTGACGTTCTTCAGGGATAAGATTCGGCGATACCAATTTTTGTTGAGGGCGCTTGCAGTTATTGTAGAAGCGTCGAATCCAAGCGGTAACTCCTATCAGCTTATCAAGTGTGCTGTACCGATTCAACAAAAAATCTAAATCCATGGCTGGCTTCTCCAAAGTCAAACAATGTTTTCCCGGAAGCGATAAAGCTGCCAAAGTTTGTCCTGACGGCCAATTCGACTCTTGTCGAGTCAGAAACTCTGGACCCCACCACAGGGGGTGATACAAAAACTGTGAAGCCCTACAACCTCGAGAGGCACAGTCAGCCGGATTCAACTCGCCGGGAACGTGACGCCAAACCAAATCAACGGACAAGTTGTGAATCTGTGCCACTCGGTTCGCAACAAAAACTTCTAAAGTATGGACTGGAGACTTCAGCCA